GGGCCAGAGATCATGGGCCAGGCAGGGGCTGGGGAAGTGATATATTCACCAAGTCGTCGCGTGGTCTGGCCCCGCTCGGCGGGCTCTTTTCAACGAGAGGTTGCTAAGGAGTACGCATACCGACGGAGCATCGACACCAATGGCATGTCGGCAAACCAGCGGGCTATGGCGTTGCGAATCATCCATGCTTTCGACACTGTCCCTGAAGAGGGGGAAGAGCTTAAGGTGAGGACCCCGTTTTTTGTTTCCTAGAGCTTGTGCTCATTTGGACGTACTATGCTATCACCTTGCTTCTTTACGTTGCCGCATGCACACGCCAGTTGTGGCGTATGCATGTTTAAATGCGTTGTTTGGAAGGGCACTGTCGCCACGCTGCCCTCGTTCATCTTCTATAAACGTACGCACATCGTGCCAATATGCGTGCTTGACCTTGCCTACCGTCCCGTAACCCTTGCCTTGGCTTGCCCGTGGGTCGTGTGTAGGACCTCGTCTCTGAGGTCATTAAGATCCTGTTCTTTAAAACAGCCAACGGCGACTACACACTCTGGCCAGCAAAAACGAAGATTCTGGATGCCATATTCCGGGCTTTACGATGGACGGACGAGCAGCAGCGGTCAGATCTGGCGCTGGTGTACGCCTTCGATGATCGGCGGCGCAACAACATCCGTGGGAGCCTCGCTGAATGGCGGAACAAAGTCCTGACGAAGGGCCGGGCTCGGGTGTACGAGGCGCTTGACCTCCGGGTGGCCCGGCCCATATCAGGACGGGAGGAGAGGGGCACCTTAACACCCACCGCATTCAAGGAGGACTACGGCGCGAGTGAGTTGTCGCTGACGAGGTGAGGTCGTTCCTTAGCGCTACTCTTACCATATCAAGTCCTTTGACCTCTTTTCCCATGTACTCCCTTGTATTCTTTATGCCGCGTTCATGGTAGCGGGTATGGCAGTGGGCATGGCAGTGCGCATGGCTGTGGGAAAGGGGAGTGCGCATGGTTGTGGGGTAGGGAGGTGGACATGGCTGTGGGGTAGGGCGATGGACATGACAGCAAGCATGGCAGTGTGCATGGTTGTGGGGCAGGGCAGTGGGCATGGCTGTGGAGTAGGGCAGCGGGCGCAGCATTCGGCATGGCCCTAGGGTAGGGGAGCGGGCATGGCATTGGGCTTGGGAAAAAGGCATGCTAGCGGGCAGGGCAGTGGGTATGGCAGTGGGAATGGGTATGGGGTACAGCAGCAGCATGCATGGCATTGGGCATGGCAGTGGGAGAGGGTGGAGGGTAGAGCAGCAGGCATGGCATTGGGCATGGTAGTGGGAGAGGGTGGAGGGTAGAGCAGCAGGCATGGCATTGGGCATGGCAGTGGGAGTGGGTGTGGGTTAGAGCAGCGGGCATGACATTGGGAGTGGGTGTGGGGTAGGGCAGCGGGCACTGCAGTGGGAATGGGTATGGGGTACAGCAGCCGTGGGCATGGCATTGGGCATGGCAGTGGGAGTGGGTGTGGGTTAGAGCAGCGGGCATGACAGTGGGCATGGAAGTGGGAGTGCGTGTGGGGTAGAGCAGCAGGCATGGGATTGGGCATGGCAGTGGGAGAGGGTGTGGGGTAGAGCAGCGGGCATGGCATTGGGCAGGCCTGTGGAAATGGCTGCGGGTAGGGCAGCACACATGGCATTGGACAGCGCTGAAGGCATGGCTCTAGGGTAGTGCAGCGAGAATGGAAGTGGGCTTGGGAAAGGCAGTGCAGTGGGAAGGGCAGTGGGCAGGGCTGAGGGAATTGGCGTGGGGTAGAGCAGCAGGCATCACATTGGGCGTGGTTTGGGGGAATGGGTGAGGGATAGGGCAGTTTGCATGGCTATGGGCAAGGTTAGTGGGCATCGCAGGGGGGAAGGGTGTGAGGTGGCCCAGCGGGCATGGCATTGGACAGCGCACCAGGAATGGCTCTAGGGTAGGCCAGCGGGCATGGGAAAAGGCATGGCAGTGAGCAGGGCGGTGGGGATGTCATTCGGCATGGCAATGGGTATGGCAGCCAGCCACATGGACATGGGCATGGCATCGGGCTGTGTGTAGGGTGGGCATGACAGTGGGCATGGCCGTGGGCATAAAATTGGGGATGGAAGCGGGCCACATGGCAGTGGGGCATGGCTGTGGGAAGGGCAGTGGGCATGACAAAGGGGCATCCCAGGCAGATCAGCACGCATCTAGTGAGCCACGTTAACCTGTCCGCCTAGAACCCCCTCCATCTCTGATCCCTCCCATTATGTTGACCAAAACCCATTTGTTTCAGGCTCAGCTTCTTTTGGCATGTCCACATGGCACAGGGGCAATCACAACCTCCCCTATGGAACTGACGTGTTCATCGAAGCAGTGACAGACTCGTTCAGCACCACAACTTCCAGCACAATTGTCCTGCCACCAAAGCTTCTAGCGTTTTGGTTGCACGGGGTAAGAACACTGTTTGGGGCATGTTCCAGTTTCTTGTGAGTGAGCCTAAGTACACAAAGTTCTGGCTTTTGGATTCAGGTTGAACATCGGGTGCTTCATGACAACCGAGACAAGTCTCGCAGCACCAACAAGAATCACCGCCAAGTCGAACATTACTATAACAATATGTGCAAGTGGGCTCAATCCGTCATCTCAATCCGCGACAACACGAAAGGGCCGTGGTGGTCCGAGGAGCTCAAGGCTTGGCGATTCTCCTCCAGTAGGGTAGTTTACATTAGTGCCGATGGTTTGACTGCATGAAAGGGATAGCTAGAATAAAAGTGGTAGTACCAACTGCTAGGCGTGCTACCTTTAGCACGCTTCAATACGCGTTTACAATAATCTCACTAATTTGTAGAAATCATCAATAAATCAATTTAGAAAAAAAATCATATACGAAAGCATAATTGTTACTGAACTGTAGCCGCAATTATCGATACTATTGTTCGTTTCCCGTGTTCAATACAATCACTAATACAAATACAATACTGTTTTATCGTAAGCTCGGCGAGTTCAATGACATTCGATAGAGGCTATCAGATTTAAAGCAGACGGAGCGCGAGTGTCAGAATCAGACGAATGAACGGAAACGAAAATTGCAATTTCATTGGTGCAAAAAAAGGCCGGGAATGTCGAGGGCCGAACCACGAAGCGCGATAACACACGAGAGCACGAATAGGGCGCGTTGCCGAGCCTCCTGCCGAAACTGCAAGATTGGCCCCCACAATCTCGGGTGTTCACGCACCGCGGCCCTGGTTGCGTCGCGTGAAAAAAGTAAGTTGTCCAGTAAGCTACCGGTTACTGGAATCGAACTAACTTTCGAGGCCCCGAAAAGTCACTTCCCGAACCCTGCAATTTTGGGATGCATCTCAGGTACGTTACAGTCTGGGCCCGTCCAAATTCCTTGGAATTGGAATGGGATTTTTGTTTTGAGGCGCCTCAAAACGGTACGTTACAGTCTGGGCCCGTCCAAATTCCTTGGAATTGGAATGGGATTTTTCAAGTCTGTCTGTTCCCAGGGAGTGGGTCGAACCGCCCTTCCGCAGTAAGGGTAAACACTCTTGACTGTCGCAGACAGTGGTAACTACGGTACGGTACTGCGGCAGTACTCTTTTTAGTAGATCCCAGCAGACGATATTTTCAAGGAAGTGTAGGAGTTACGAAAAATAAGCTTTCCCTACACTACACTACTAAAACCGGATTCTAGTTTCTCTTTCGGAAAGAACCAACTTGCAAGTCGCGGACGGAATCAAGGGTGAGCGGCGGTCGCGAATCGTAAGCTTCTGGAGGCTTCTAAAGCATGTGCTTGCACATGATGAAGGCTGAGGTGTGACGGCATAGGATAGGACAAGGCCTGAGGCACTGTGGCGACCGTAAGTCGGAAGTGTTGCGCTGCTTGGGTGGCAACTTGGCAAGGCTGCCCAGTGCCCCATCCCACCAAGCATGCTTGCCGCTCACCTGTGTTATTGTACAGTGTGATGGAGGAAGAACCCTAGCAGCAACCGAGCTGGACATGATGCACTCGAAGGAGCTCTAGCGACGGGTCCATTGTCAGGCGATGGTCCTTGGCGGGCGGAAAGGAGGGTGCACCCCGCATTCAGTTCGATAAGGGTGTGTCCAGAGTGGGATGTCGAGGAACGTCGACGGATGTCGGGGGATGTCGAGGGAGATAGGTGGGGGGTTCCAAGGGGGCCCACATGTCCAGAGTAGCCCCAACATCCACCCTCGACATCCCGGGTCGCGAATGGATGTCGAGTTTTGTCGAACAGTACCGGCGGGCAGGGAAACCAATTCCCTTTGGAGGGCAAAATTCCGAATGTAAAAAAAACCTCACGGACTACACGCCAAAACTGGCGAAATCGGAAACGCCTACGCGTATAGCTGCTGGTTGATCCACCAGTCTATATCGCACGAGTTGTCTGTATGGTTGACGAATCTCACGACTTCTGTGTGGCGAGCGTTACATTTCAAAATGAATTGCACAGGGTGATCACAGAGTGTCTGGGCACTTTCGTTGAGCGAAGGCTGTCCAGAGTACCGAAACTCCAGTCTCGACATCCACGGATGTCGTCGGATGTCGGCCTCGACGTCGGACGGATGTCGTCGGATGTCGAATTTGCACTATGGACAAGCCCTAAGTGGGATGAATGGTTCTCTGTTCCCTGCTCAGGGGGGGAAAGGGGAAGGAGATCTGGTTGCGTGGCAGACTCAGCTCGTTTCGTACGGCGGAGTGCGATGCTAGGTGGATACGTTACGGTGCGGCATCGAACCATGTGGGCTATGCGTAGAATATCTGCCAAATCAGGTGATGGAATGAGAAGGGCGGAAGAGAGCAGGGCTAATGGTTCGGGGGGGGTAGTGGCGCGGTTTGTAACGGGGGATGCCGGGGTGTCAGGTCAGGTGGCGATGGAATTTATCCCCGAAAACCAGGGCCATGTCCGTTGCAATCGTGCTTGGTGACCGTACCGTACATTGTCACACGCAATGTTGGTCAAACGGAACATTGTTAGTAATTCACTAAATGGAATATCCCTAACAAATCAAGGTCGAAAGCAGTACAATAAAAACGTTACAAATGGCCAGTGCAGTGAAACCATGAAAGACTGATGTCTATCCGCATGCCTTCTTGCGTATAACAAAACGGTGGTTCTGCATTAGTCACCACATTACAAGTGGGTCATCTCATATCAGCCGTACAGTCACATGTTCAGCCTTGCTCTTATCTCTCCCTCCAACACTCTCTGCTGCATTTCTGCCAGGCGCATCTGAATTGCACAAATCAGAAGAGCACATTCATTAAAAATGGTTCATTTACAAGAATAAGAAGGCATTAGAAATCTTACAAAAAAAACATCTAACTGTCGACACTGATCACTCCAAACCGAAGCATACCTGCATGACTTGAATATAGTTTACCGCCCCTTCAATCATGGACCCCAAGTCTTGGTGTGGACCCAGGATGTCAAGAGGCACTGCCAACCTCAGCCGTCTAAGCGACTCACTGTAACCGACGAGTATGGAAGCAGCAGACAGAGGGATAGAGCAAGGACAATCAGGCACATTGTGACATTGCATACAAATTGCGCATTGGTAACACAAGATGGATAAGCTGCCACATTCCAGGGAAAACAAGGCCAGGAGTCGGTACTGCGCCAGCGAGACACAACAAAGTTAGAATCACCTTATTCTCTCCCTCCTGCGTCGCTCTCTCATCGACCTCGGCTTGATGTTTGCCTGCCTCTGCCTGAGCCGCCCATCAGTCCCAGCACCGTAAGTATGACCATGGCCAGCACCACCACCGTCACCAGTCTCCATGGCCCCTCTGTCGCCAGGCGCCCCTTCCCCCCCTTCAACGAGCGCAGCATTGCCATCGGCGGTCGGAGCATTGGCCGCCGTGACAACCCTTGCCCTTGCACTCTCTGCCCCGGTCACTCTTTCCCCCCCTTCGTTCTCACCATCGTCCACCTTCATACGTTCGTTCCCCTTCTTCTCTCCCTCCCCCTCTTCCCCCTCCCCCTCCCCCTCGTCCCCCTCCCCCTCCTCGTCCTCCTCCCCCTTCCCTTCCTCCTCATCCTCAGCCTGAGCGGCCATGAACGACGCCATCAGCTGCATTCTCTCCATCCCGTCACTGCCTCGGAAGCACTCTGCTGTAGCGCATGTTGCAGCACAGGCTGTAGCGCTGTCTGTAGCACAGCCAGTAGGGGCTGCCCGGACTGTAGCGCGGTCGGTGGACTGGTCCCCAGGAGAGGCGCCTCCACGAGGGTTTCCTGCGGGGGACCCGCGCACAGCCGCGTCAAGGGTTATGGCTCCGAACCCCCCCCTGGGGCTTCGTTCATCTCGCCCTAGCCTGGTAGGCTCGACACTCAAGGGGCGGATTTTGCTGCTGCTGCCGCCGTCGCCGCTGCCGCCGACGGCGCCGACATAATTAGATTGGAATGAAGATCGCGCGTAACCCCCGGCGGCGGCGGCGGATGCATCGTCGTCGAACGCCATCATCATCATCTGCATCATGTGCTCGTCTTCTTCCTCCTGCTGCTGCGGCTGCGGCGTCTGCGGGTGCTGCAGGTGCTGCGGCTGCAGCTGCGGCTGCGCCGGCGGCGGCGGGACTGCCGTGCTGCCACGTGGCAGCGACGGAAACCGGGTCACGATGCGCTCCAAGTCCGACAACATGGCAGCATAAGATGATCGTTCTGCCTGCGGAGCAGTGCCGGCTCGAGAGAGCCGCGACCGCGCTGCTCGTGACGATAGTAGCTCCGGCGATGGTGGCGGTAGTTGAGCCGAATCTCCGAGGCTGGCATTGTCCTCCATAGTCGCGATACCTCTCAGGCTATCCACTGCTCCTAGTAGCGTAGTAGGCGCTACTAAGCTAGTAGGTTAGTGCTACCCGCCTCGTCAGAGACGCCGTGAGCAGCGGAAGGAGCGAGAACGGCGAGTCCCTAAAAGCACTGTTTGAACGAAGCTTCTTCAAACGACAGTCGGAGTTTGCGGCTGGTACAATCGCCCCTTTCCCGAAGCTCTTACGACTACAAGTAGGGTTCAATACCGCGCCGAAAGCGCGCGAGGAACCAGGTCTGCGCGGCGCCGGCAGGCCATGCGAGCTTCTGCGGACACTGGCTCTTACGAAAGGGCTCGTAGTACCAGAGGTACGGATCGTGTAACGGGCTGCAAACTTACATTGGGCGAAATGCATTAGTAACCGGTTGCTACGTGCCAGATTCACCCCCACGTGCAACTTGAAAGTTGCCACCATTTCAAGCGCCGCTCGCTGACTGACAGCAAGCTACATGGCTGCCGCCGCTATCTTTGGCTAGAAAGCCGTCCAGATTCCCTCCCCCTCTGGACGATCGCGAAATTTCTCGCAGAGCCACGCGCGGCGATATTTTCGCTGAGGAAATCCATGGGGATTGTCGGAACAGGCCGTGCGGGAGACATGGATGAGAGGGAGGGTGGACGAGAAGCCTAGGCTTGGCTTGGGCGGCAGCGAGGTTGTAGAGGCTTCCGGCAATTACGAAGGCCTGAGGCGTGGCGGTGTTGGCTGTAATGTTGTGCAGCTGAAAGCAGCTGGTGTGATGGATGGGAGGGGAGGGGAGGGAAGAGCTAGGGAGCGCGCATGGTTCGGTTTGTTGTGAATACCGTACCCAAACGTTTCCAATCTCCATTCAAACCTTCTAACACAGGGAGTATCTCACCCAACCGTAATCCATGGTACCCTTGGTTTGGGACGCCTGATGGTCTGCTTTGTACAGCACAGCCGGCTAGGGAGTGGAGGAGAGGAGAGAACAGAAGACAGGGTGGGCGCGGAAGAGAAGGTTATGCTTGCAGAGGGGAACACGGGGAAAACGAGAGAGAAGGCAAGGCTAGCAGGTGATTTTTTGTTGGTGAAGGGTGAAAATTAGTTGTTGTTTTGCCATGAAGTTCAGGAGGAATCGCTACAATTGTCAGTTCGCAGTCAGAAAGGGGGAAGATCCAGCTACCTTCCCCCTTTCTGACTGCGAACTGACAATATTGGTGGCTGAGCGGGAAGACCCCCCTGAGCGAATTCTGCACGAAGAAAAGCCCGAAGACCTGCCCGTGAAATTGGGGCCTGGGCCCTGGGTGTGTGGTGATGAACTTCCAAGGCGACCGTCCAAATCGCAGGTGCGATTTTACAGCACCGCAATGCACGTTTCCGAAAGGGACGAATAGCTGGATGGCAGGGCAAGTCGGGTTTCAGTCCGGATCCTCTGGAGCAATGCGGCGAATCACAGAAGCGCCATAAACAAGCCACTCCTATTGGCAACAACTGGCACACATCACGCTTGCAACCACCCATGTGACGGGAGGAAACTCGAATGAATGCAAAGCAAAGATTCGTTACTCAACTGTGGGAAAGATTCTGTTCCAGGAGGTTTACAGTTCCACAGTAATTCTTCTACACCTTGAGCCTGACAGAGAAGCAAAACTTTTCAGGGTGCCGGTAGACAAAAACGCGCAGGGGTTTCTCACGGCATCGTCAAGGGCATGCGGGCCTTTCGCACGGGCACGAAGGTTACCATTTTGAAGTTTTGCGGGATAGGTTTGAGTGGCATATTTTGGCGAGTTATTGTTCATGCAGTTACCGTCTTAAGTTTCGGCGCTTTCAAGCGAGAGTGAGTTTCTCTGGTGTAGCACCAGAGTGGTGGTTGTCGGGTGAGATGTTGAGTGAGTTTCTCTGGTTCGGTTTGCTCCCTTTTATACTCTGAAATGTAGCGAGGAGTTTGGAGTCGCATTTCGGTTTCAAATGTTAGGGGCGTCTTCTAGAGATTTCTTACATTACGAATTGAAGGTTCGTATCGCAACAATAACTGTTGCGTGGAGTGTGGGAATTTGTTTTACGAATCTGTTCCTGGGTTGGCTGTCGGATGTTGAGAACGATCCCTAGCATCGGGGCATCGCGACTCCATTTCGCTGCCAAGTCAGCATTCACTTTCATGCGGCAATGCTCAAGCCACAAACAAACCCAGCCAGGCGTACGCACCTTTGCAGGCTCAACGAAAGGCTCGCTGAGCTTCGCCGGAGCGCTATTCCGAGTGCGGCTGGAGTTTGTGCTGAAAACAGTTGCGGCGCACATCTTTCGTCTTGTGCCGCATGTTTGTCACTGCTGTCATGATGGCGCTGCACTGCTGGCTCTGTTCACAGCCCACATCGAGTGGGCCGTTGCCCGTGTGTCAACGCTAATGGGCGGTGGTTTTTGATTTGCCACGTATTGCGCTGGGCGTCCGGTGTGCTCCAGGTGTAAGCTCTACAGTACACTAAACCTCGGTCAGAGCTAAAAATTAGGACATCACAAGGCCCCCGAAGTCTGTACACACCTGCAAAACTGATGGACATTAGTACTATACTATACACATTACCTTTGCGTGTTGGTAATGCTCGCATCAGGAACATGCGCTGCCACGACCATGACAAGGGGACACATACAAAAGACAACAACGAATATCACCCGTTAATAAGCATGTGCTGGCTGGTAGTACTACGTAAGGAGAAAATCGGGGAAAATACAAAATTAGCTACGGTTGAGAAGGTTGGATAGGGTTCAAGGGAATGTGGAGACAAATATGAACAAGCAAATGCAGAGCACGTAAAAGAAGCACAAAGAAGCAGCAACGGGGCTTAATTAAAAGACATGGGAAGGGCAAAAAGACATGTGACGGACGGAAGGGTGTGGCGTACGGAGAGCAAGACGAAGGCGAGGAAACGTTGAGCTTCATTGTAGCGAGAGCGCCATAGCTGGTGGGGCCCACAGTCATTTGGAGCAGAGGAGTTGAAGAAGACGAGGGGCAGAGGTACTCCTTGTAGGTCTTGTACTTGAAGGCACCTGAGCAAGGGCTGAAGGACAGGGGAGAGAGCAGAAGGGGAGAGAGCAGAAGGGGAGAGAGCAGGAGAAGGGGAGAGAGCAGGAGAAGGGGAGGGAGCAGGAGAAGGAAAGGGAGCAGGAGAAGGGGAAAGAGCAGGAGAAGGGGAGGGAGCAGGAGAAGGGGAGAGAGCAGGAGAGGGGGAGAGAGCAGGAGAAGGGGAGAGGAGTGGATGACGAGGAGGGGCAGATACTCCTTGTAGGTCTTGTACTTGAGGGCTCCTGAGCAAGGGCTGGAGGACAGGGAGGGAGGAAGGGAGGAGAGCTTTCAGGTAGTGAAGGCACGGCTTCTGGAGGGGCAGAGGTACTGCTTGTAGGTCTTGTGCTTGAAGGCTCCCGAGCAAGGACTGGAAGAAGAAGTCAGGGGGAAGGGAACGGAAAGATCAAGGGACAGAGGGATGGGCTGGGAGCATGGGAGCATCAGTGGCGAACCACTAAGTGCTCTGATCCCCAGCCAGCTGATATTCCAACCCGTAATTAGGCCTCTATGCTAGTCTTCGGCCCACTGCCACAGGTGGGGACGAGCAGACGAGAATCACAGGTCTGAGATTAGACAAAGGATTTCACAGGTTGGGAGCATCAGTGGCAAACCAGTGAGTGCTATGATCCGTGGCCTCTATCCTTAACTTGCAGCCCCCCTTACCAGTTGGAGAGTGGTACGGGATGGGGGCTCACAGCAAACCAGACTCACAGGCTGGGGAGTGGATTGGGATAGGCAAAGGAGACTCAGGCTGGGCACATAAATTTTTGAGTTGTCTAAAAAATAGGCTCATTACGCAGGGAAGAGGATCGGGATAGGCAAAGGAGACTCACAGGCTGGGGGCGTCAGTGGCGAACCACTGTGTGCTCTGATCTTTGCCCTCTATCTTGATCTTCAAACCCCCCTCACAGCCCCCCCTGTCATACGACCACACCTGCAGTCAGAGGAGATGCACACAAGAGGGGATTGCTATGAGAGGGATGAAGTGGCCGTTTCTTAGGCAACTTTTGAGGCGACTTTTGAGGCGCCTCAAAAGCCCTCGCAGCCGCCTGTCATACGACCACACCTGCAGTCAGAGGAGACGCAAGCAAGACGCAGTCCGAGGACTGTTGTGAGAGGGATGCAGCGACTGTGCTCTTAAGGCGACTGTGCTCTTCAGGCGCCTCAAAATGAACACCTGAGCCGCATGGCAAAAGTAGGGCAGGGGTACCAGGTAGCCGATGGTGAACCGGTAGGGTGTACCCAGCCAGCAGCACGCAAGCAACTAGACCGATGCACTCTCACTCACTCACAAACCCACGAGAACCAACCTGAGCCCAGATGGGGTAGAAGAGGCTGTTAATAGGAGCAGGAATGATGGTGAACCGATAGGTGTAGCCAGCCAGCAGCGACGCAGTGAGAAGGGAGAATGAATGGCTCTTGTGCACTCACACTCACATACCAGAGCCCAGGTGGGGTAGAAGAGGCTGTTAGTGGGAGCAGGAATGATGGTGAACCGGTAGGTGTAGCCAGCCAGCAGCGACGCACTGAGAAGGGAGAATGAATGGCTCTTGTGCACTCACACTTACATACCTGAGCCCAGGTGGAGAAACAACAGTTCATGTGCACTCGCACTCACTCACACTCACACTCACACACACTTACACACACACTCACTCACTCACATACCTGAGCCCAGGTGGGGTAGAAGAGGCTGTTTGTAGGAGCAGGGATGATGGTGAACCGATAGGTGTATCCAGCCAGCAGCGAGGCGGTAACGTAACGGTAGGCATTGCGCTTGGGGTCGGCAGGGGGGCTGTCAGGGTTGTCGTTGTCCGTGCCGTACGCAGTGAACGTCTCTCCATCCTCCTCCCTTGTTATGTTGATGTAGCTGGTGGGAGTGAGGAAGAGGGAACACAGCAATGAGAGAGAGACTGCTGCACAAACTGCTGTGGACAGACTGCTGCACAAACTGCTGTGGACAGACTGCTGCACAAACTGCTGTGGACAGACTGCTGCACAAACTGCTGTGGACAGACTGCTGCACAAACTGCTGTGGACAGACTGCTGCCCAAACTGCTGTGGACAGAGGCTGGCGGCAGGTGGCAGGATGGGGACTGGCATCCATCTCGCCGGGACAGGCACATGCTGGCGAGCACTGAGGCCGTCGGCAAGATGGGGGGGGAGTCTCAGGGTAAAACCGCTCATCTGTAAGGCCGGAGGACTTTGGCAGGGAAGTCGGCCATTGTATTGGCAGGAAAGCAAGGAGGATAGGCGAGAAATTATCACTTGGGGCACAACCGCTCACCTGTAAGGCCGAAGGACTTTAGAGGGCAGACCCCCCATCCCGTTGTGCTGCACCCCTGACTCGTAGTAAAACATCCCCACAGCCCGGTAGCACACTGATTCACACTGGTATACTGCGCTCTCCCCCAGTACTGGCACAGACTGGCGCGCACAGAGGCAGGCGGCTTGATTGGGGCAAAAGTTTCGGTTGAGGCAATTCCGCTCACCTGTAAGGTCGGAGGACTTTGGCAGGCAAGCCGGCCATCCTATAGGCAGGAAAGAAAGTAGGATGGGCGAGAAAGTATTACTTGAGGCAAAACCGCTCACCTGTAAGGCCGGAGGACTTTGGCAGGCAAGCCAGCCATCCCATTGGGGCGCACCCCAGATTCATGGTAGAACACACCGACAGCTCTGTAGCACACCGATTCACACTGGTATACTGCGCTCTCCCCCCGATACTGGCACACGCTGGCGCGCACAGAGGCAGGCGGCAGGATGGGGGAGTAAGGCGCCACGGCGAAAGCCCCTGGCGTGCCGAGAAGCGAGCCGTCCAAGTCCCTGAGGGCGTAGAACCGAGCGATGAGGCCTCCCCTGGGGGGAATGGTTGCGGGCTGTAGTGGGGTGGGGGGGGGAGGTGGGGAGGGTGGGGGCAGAGGGGGGATGGGTGGGTAAGGCGCCATGGCGAATACCCCTGGCGTGGCAAGGAGAGAGCCGTCCCGGTCCCTAAGGGCGCAGCAGCGGGCGATTAGACCTCCCATGTGTACAACCCCCCAAGTGTACAACCCCCCATGCGTACACCCCCCCATGCGTACAACCCCCCATGCGTACAACCCCCCATGCATCTCCTATGTGTACCCCACCCCCCCACGTGTACAACCCCCCATCCATGCAATCGATGACTCAATTCACCCACCGGGTTTGGGGTTGCCCAAAATCTCTTGCTGCCCAACGCAAAGGAAAGATTCTGCAAAGTAGACAACCAAGGGGGGTGGGGGGATGAGGGGGAACGACAGGAAGGGAGAGGGGTTGGGTTGGGTTGGGTTGGGTTGGGTTGGGGTGACAGAGAGGGGAGGGAGGCTGGCAAAAGAACAAGAGAGGAGAGGGAAGGGGAGGAGGGGGTGGCACAGAGGAGGAAGTCATGCACGGCGAAGCAAAAGAGAGTGACTTGCGAGAGAGATGCATGCTCCGACTTCTACGTTGAAGGCAGTGACCTTGTTGCGTACAAGAGCAAGGGGAGAGCTAAGGGGAGAGGGAAGGGAGCAAGGTATACCGACCTGAGCAAAGGGGCATGCAATCCCACCTGAACAAAGGGGCATGCATTCCCACCTGAGCAAAGGGGCATGCAATCCCACCTGAACAAAGGGGCATGCATTCCCACCTGAGCAAAGGGGCATGCAATCCCACCTGAACAAAGGGGCATGCATTCCCACCTGAGCAAAGGGGCATGCATTCCCACCTGAGCAAAGGGGCATGCATTCCCACCTGAGCAAAGGGGCATGCATTCCCACCTGAGCAAAGGGGCATGCATTCCCACCTGAGCAAAGGGGCATGCATTCCCACCTGAGCAAAGGGGCATGCAATCCCACCTGAGCAAAGGGGCATGCAATCCCACCTGAACACAGAAGGCAGTTCAGAGAGAGAGAGATGGACTACACCAGTTCCGCCAGCGTTGGTCCTGCACCCTCCAGCGGAGCCAGGCCGCGTCCTACCTCAAGAAGGTGAACGAGGCGGCCCAGGCAGAACACCCGCCCATCGGCTCACCTGAAGGGACCCTCTCTCCAGCTGACTGCTTCGCGGACCTGGAGCCGGTACTAGAGTGGTCATAGGCACACCGTGTGCGTAGGCACTTTGTACTCACCTTTCTTGCCAAACGGTGCCTAGTTGTACCCAGGTTTCAGAAATACATGGACCGCTTGAGAGATGGACTAGCAAGACAGGTGTTCACACCTGCACAAAGAATGTAGCGGCCAGGCTTGTTGGTCACGAGAGCGAGGGGCAACCGAAGGACGAGCGAAGGGGTGAGCGAGGGGCAAGCGAAGGTGTTCACACCTATGCAGAGAGATACGCATTCCCAACTGAACAAGAGTTCTTTCTTCGAGCAAGATTTTTTTTTCTTCTTTTTTCGAACACAGTGTTCTATAAGCCTGCTGCCACGTATGGCTAAAACCACCACCAAGTGCTGCTCCCGACGCATTCCCACCTGAACAAAGAAGGCAGTGTTCCAGTAGCCGCCAGGCTTGTTGGTCACAAGAGCGATGCCAAAGCTGCCAGTGGTGCAGGCACCGTAGCCAGAGAAGCTGAGGACACAAGAAAGGGGGAGGGAGGGAAGGGTGAAGGGGGGGGGTGAGAATAGGTTGAAAGGGAGCAGGGGCGCATATGCATGGCGTCAGAGCTGCCAGTAGTGCAGGCGCCGTAGCCAGAGAAGCTGAGGAGAGGGGGGTTTCAGGGGGGGGAGACGAGGGGGTTTTGAGGGAGGGGAGTGGGAAATTTTTGAGTCGACTCAAAAATCACCTGCAACGCCTATCAAGAAAATGGCGCAGACGCCATAAAAATGCATCGAGAAGCTGAGAAAATGCTCATATCCCGTGCCCTCATATCCCATGCCCTCATATCCCGTACCCTCATATCCCATGCCCTCATATCCCATGCCCTCATATCCCATGCCCTCATATCCCATGCCCTCATATCCCGTGCCCTCATATCCCATGCCCTCATATCCCATGCCCTCATATCCCATGCCCTCATATCCCATGCCCTCATATCCCATGCCCTCATATCCCATGCCCTCATATCCCATGCCCTCATATCCCATGCCCTCATATCCCGTGCCCTCATATCCCATGCCCTCATATCCCATGCCCTCATATCCCGTGCCCTCATATCCCGTGCCCTCATATCCCGTACCCTCATATCCCATGCCCTCATATCCCCTGCCCTCATATCCCATGCCCTCATATCCCATGCCCTCATATCCCATGCCCTCATATCCCATGCCCTCATATCCCATGCCCTCATATCCCATGCCCTCATATCCCATGCCCTCATATCCCATGCCCTCATATCCCATGCCCTCATATCCCTGCCCTCATATCCCATGCCCTCATATCCCATGCCCTCATATCCCATGCCCTCATATCCCTGCCCTCATATCCCATGCCCTCATATCCCATGCCCTCATATCCCATGCCCTCATATCCCATGCCCTCATATCCCATGCCCTCATATCCCATGCCCTCATATCCCATGCCCTCATATCCCATGCCCTCATATCCCTGCCCTCATATCCCATGCCCTCATATCCCATGCCCTCATATCCCATGCCCTCACCCGCCTCATATCCCATGCCCTCATATCCCATGCCCTCATATCCCATGCCCTCATATCCCATGCCCTCATATCCCATGCCCTCATATCCCATGCCCTCATATCCCATGCCCTCATATCCCATGCCCTCATATCCCATGCCCTCATATCCCTGCCCTCATATCCCATGCCCTCATATCCCGTGCCCTCATATCCCATGCCCTCATATCCCATGCCCTCATATCCCATGCCCTCATATCCCATGCCCTCATATCCCATGCCCTCATATCCCATGCCCTCATATCCCATGCCCTCATATCCCATGCCCTCATATCCCATGCCCTCATATCCCGTGCCCTCATATCCCGTTGCTCTGGCTGAGCGTGACCCCAATGGGCGAGTCACAAGTCAGAGGACTCTTTCCACTCACAAGGAAACTTTGTACAGAGGGCGGTTGCAGCATGCCAACTGGCATCACTCCAAGGGGCGGTCGCAGGATGTCAGCTGTACAGTATGTCACCCATAGGGACGAGTTTTGAGATGCCTCAAAACTACACTCCCATCACGCAGCTTTTGAGGCACCTCAAAACGAGGGGCGGTCGCAGGATGTCAACTGTACAGCATGCCACCCATAGGGGCGAGTCATGAATCAGTAGAGTCTATTTGAGGCGCCTCAAAAATCGAATCAGTCGAGTCAGGCCCCACAATGCAGAATTTCAACTCACAAGGAATCTTCAACCGAGGACGGTCGTAGGATGTCAGCCGGGTTGCTCTGGCTGAGAGTCACCCCAATGGGCGAGTCAAACGACCCGTCTCCAATTTCCTTCTGTGGCCGCGCTTCTGCCTCATGCACTCTGTCGTCACTTCTCATAAGAGAAACCCTTTGTCCCGCCACACCCTCACCACCACCAGCAGCAACACCACCAGCACCAGCACCAGCACCAGCAGAAGCAGTAGCAGCACGAGCAGCAGTTGCACCTCCCTCACCCTCCCTCCAGTACCCTAGCCAGTAGCTCTCAGCCCAAGGAGGCACCTCCCCTGCTGTTATGTTGTATGCCAACTCCGTCTCTCCACCGCGGCTCCCTGTGCTGTCGCCACTGCTGCTGCCCATGCTGTTGCCCGTGCTATTCCCCGTGCTGCCACTGCTGCCGCTGCTGGTACTACCACTGCTGCCAGTCCCATTCGCCCCATCACCATCCCCATCAGCATAGTCCCCATACTCGCTATAGTCACCCAAGCCCCCGGTACCATCACTATAGTCACTGTCACCTGTGCCCCAACTGGGCAGGGGGTAGAGGAACTCAGCCCAGGGTCTTATGGCGTCTGCCAGGCCGGGAGGCTCCCACTCTGTGGTGGGGCCTTGGTGGGGACTGAGGAGGGGGGTAGGAGGAGGGGTGAGGGGGGAAGCTGCAGCTGCTGCTGCTGTGGCTAGAATCTGGTTGCTCTTGTTGGCAATACTGCTGCTGGCAAGGCTGGTGCTGCCGATACTGCTGCCCCTGGCGCTGCTGGTTCTGCTGCTGCTGATGCTGCTGCTGCGGAGGGCACTTCTGGCCTTCGCACTGAGCAACAGAGGCAGAGGGACACGGGGGTGCAGCACCAAGGGAGGGGACAATGCATCCTGTTACGTCTGCGAAACACCTCCCCGTTTTGGAGCTGGGAAACAGATGGGCAAACAGGTGGGATGAAGGACAAGGGAGGAAGGACAAGGGAGGAAGGACAAGGGAGGAAGGACAAATGCACCAGAAAAAGGGACTGATGCGCCTCACGTGCAGTCTCACGTGCAAAGGGCAGTCTCACGTGCAAAGGACAGTCTCATGTGCAAAGGACAGTCTCACGTGCAAAGGGCAGTCTCACGTGCAAAGGGCAGTCTCACGTGCAAAGGGCAGTCTTACGTGCAAAGGACAGTCTCACGTGCAAAGGACAGTCTCACATGCGAAGGACAGTCTCACGTGCAAGTTGATGGCAGCGTGCCCACAAAACGGCAGCCCTTGACCGTCACACCCCCATTTCGGCTGATGTCCATCCCGTATGCATTCTCCACAAAGGCCCCGTTTTCCACCACTATGCGCTCGGTGTTCACGAATAGGATGCTGAGTGATGGGGGAGGGGAGAGAGGAGGGGGGGGGGGGGGGGGTACACGAGAGGAGGAGGGAGAGGAGAATCGTCTTTCCCACATTCTCCGAAAATGCCTCATTCTCCACCACAATGCGCTTGGTGTTCACAAATAGGATGCTGGGGTGGTGTGGGGGGGTGAGGGGGAAGGGGGGGGGAGTGGGGTGGGGGCAGGAGAAAGGAGGGAGAGTAGAACCATTTTTGAGGCGCCTCAAAAATAGACTCCTCACGCATGGACAGGAGAAAGGAGGAAGACTGGAACCATATTTCCTGCATTCTTCAAAAACAGGAAGCAGGGAGCGAGGGACGGGTGAGAGCTAGGACAAGGGGGGGAATGGACGATTGGTGAGGCGGGGCGGGGCGGGGAAGGGGACGGACAACTCAAAAGTAACCAGTTCTCAACAAATGCCCCAGGAAAGTACGACACAGCTGCTCAACTGCCCAACTGCTCTGTTTCACTCACCCTGCTTTGTTTCGGTGAAGAGTGATTTTTTAAAATAGGTGATAGTGCCATTGTATTTGGCGAAGCGGGACTGCGAGCCATGCGGGTAGGTGCGGAAGCCAAAGGGGTAAGCGCACCACCACTCACCCGGCCTTATTCCTGTAGAAGAGCGAGTCCTTAAGATAGGTAATAGTGCCGTTGTAGTTGGGGAAGCGGGACTGCGAGCCGTGTGGGTAGGTGCGGAAGCCAAAGAGGGAGGAGTGTGCAACATTGCCCACGTACTCTCCCCAGTTAAACCTGCAGGCAAAATATAGTAGGGACCGGGGGGAGGGGTGTGGGGGAGGGGTGTGGGGGGACAGGCGGACTAGGTGAAGAAGGGAGAAAAGGCGGACTGTGGGACATGAGGGTAGGTGCCATCACATGTTCACATGTCATGCTCACACACTCACATACCCCCATGCTCCCATGCTTCCATGCCCACCTGTCAGGCCGTTAGTTGCCGATGGCAGGCAACAGGAGGGAGAGACCTCGCCTGGTGGGGTTGGCCAACAGCCAGAGAGGGGTGAGAAGACATGTCATGCTCACACACTCATACAACCCCATGCTCCCATGCTCCCATGCTCCCATGCTCACACGCCCACCTGTCTGGCCGTTTGTTGCCGATGGCAGGCAGCAGGCGGGAGAGACCTCGCATGGTGGGGTTGGCCTCCAGCCAGAAGCTGCGACGTGGCGCGGGCATGAAAAGGGGAAGGGAAGACGATGGGCGAGTTCAAGGCAGCACGCAAGAAAGCCCCGCATGGTGGGGTTGGCCTCCAGCCAGAAACTGCTGGGGAGGGAATTGGAGGCTGGAGGGTTCGCCCAAGCACCCAAGATCGCCCAACCACCCAAGATCGCCCAAGCACCCAAGATCGCCCAACCACCCAAGATCGCCCAAGCACCCAGGATCGCCCAACCACCCAAGATAGCCCAAGCACACAAGGTCGCCCAGGCACCCAAGATCGCCCAACCACCCAAGATCACCCAACCACCCAAGATCGCCCAACCACCCAAAGATCGCCAAACCACCCAAGATCGCCCAAGCAACCAAGATCGCCCAAGCACCCACAATCGCCCAAGCACCCAACATCGCCCAACCACCCAAGATCGCCCAACCACCCAAGATAGCCCAGCCAGCCAAGATAGCCCAAGCACCCAAGGTCGCCCAAGCACCCAAGATCGCCCAAGCACCCAAAGATCACCCAACCACCCAAGATCGCCCAAGCACCCAAAATCGCCCAAGAACCCAAAGATCGCCCAAGCACCCAAAAGATCGCCAAACCACCCAAGATCGCCCAACCACCCAAGATCGCCCAAGCACCCAAGATCACCCAAGCACCCAAGATCGCCCAAGCACCCAAGGTCGCCCAAGCACCCAAGATCGCCCAACCAACCAAGATCACCCAACCACCCAAGATCGCCCAACCACCCAAGATCGCCCAACCACCCAAGATCACCCAAGCACCCAAGATCGCCAAACCACCCAAGATCGCCCAACCACCCAAGATCGCCCAAGCACCCAAGATCGCCCAACCACCCAAGATCCCCCAAGCACCCAAGATCGCCAAACCACCCAAGATCGCCCAACCACCCAAGATCGCCCAAGCACCCAAGATCGCCCAAGCACCCAAGATCGCCCAAGCGCCCAAGGTCGCCCAAGCACCCAAGATCGCCCACGCACCCAAGATTGCCCAAGCACCCAAAGATCGTCCAACCACCCAAGATCGCCCAAGCACCCAAGATGGCCCAAGCACCCAAAGATCGCCAAACCACCCAAGATCGCCCAACCACCCAAGATCGCCCAACCACCCAAGATCGCCCAACCACCCAAGATCGCCCAAGCACCCAAGATCGCCCAAGCACCCAAAGATCGCCCAAGCACCCAAGATCGCCCAACCACCCAAGATTGCCCAACCACCCAAGATCGCCCAAGCACCCAAGATCGCCCAAGCACCCAAAGATCACCAAACCACCCAGGATCGCCCAACCACCCAATATCGAACAACCACCCAAAGATCGCCAAACCTTCCAAGATCGCCCAACCACCCAAGATCGCCCAACCACCCAGATCGCACAACCACCCAAGATCGCCCAAGCACCCAAGATCGCCCAAGCACCCAAGGTCGCCCAACCACCCAAGATCGCCCAAGCACCCAAGATCGCCCAACCACCCAACATCGCCCACGCACCAAAGATCGCCCAAGCACCCAAGAAAGCCCAAGCACCCAAGATCGCCCAAGCACCCAAGGTCGCCCAAGCGCCCAAGATCGCCCAAGCACCCAAGATCGCCCAAGCACCCAAGATCGCCCAAGCACCCAAGATCGCCCAACCACCCAAGATCTCCAAACCACCCAAGATCGCCTAACCACCCAAGATCGCCCAAGCACCCAAGATCGGCCATGCTCCCAAGATCGCCCAACCACCCATGATCGCCCAACCACCCAAGATCGCCCAACCACCCAAGATCGCCAAATCACCCAAGATCGCCCAAGCACCCAAGATCGCCCAACCACCCAACATCACCCAAGCACCCAAGATCGCCCAACCACACAAGATCGCCCAAGCACCCAAGGTCGCCCAATCACCCAAGATCGCCCAAGCACCCAAGATCGCCCAACCACCCAAGATCGCCCAAGCACCCAAGGTCGCCCAAGCACCCAAGATCGCCCAAGCACCCAAGATCGCCCAAGAACCCAAGATGGCTCAAGCACCCAAGATCGCCAAACCACCCAAGATCGCCTACCACCCAAGATCGCCCAAGCACCCAAGATCGGCCATGCGCCGAAGATCGCCCAACCACCCATGATCGCCCAACCACCCAAGATCGCCCAACCACCCAAGATCGCCCAACCACCCAAGATCGCCAAACCACCCAAGATCGCCCAAGCACCCAAGATCGCCCAACCACCCAAGATCTCCAAACCACCCAAGATCGCCTAACCACCCAAGATCGCCCAAGCACCCAAGATCGGCCATGCTCCCAAGATCGCCCAACCACCCATGATCGCCCAACCACCCAAGATCGCCCAACCACCCAAGATCGCCAAATCACCCAAGATCGCCCAAGCACCCAAGATCGCCCAACCACCCAACATCGCCCAACCACCCAACATCGCCCAAGCACCCAAGATCGCCCAAGCACCCAAGATCGCCCAACCACCCAAGATCGCCCAAGCACCCAAGGTCGCCCAATCACCCAAGATCGCCCAAGCACCCAAGATCGCCCAACCACCCAAGATCGCCCAAGCACCCAAGGTCGCCCAAGCACCCAAGATCGCCCAAGCACCCAAGATCGCCCAAGAACCCAAGATGGCCCAAGCACCCAAGATCGCCAAACCACCCAAGATCGCCTACCACCCAAGATCGCCCAAGCACCCAAGATCGGCCATGCGCCCAAGATTGCCCAACCACCCATGATCGCCCAACCACCCAAGATCGCCCAACCACCCAAGATTGCCCAACCACCCAAGATCGCCAAACCACCCAAGATCGCCCAAGCACCCAAGATCGCCCAACCACCCAAGATCGCCCAAGCACCCAAGATCGCCCAAGCACCCAAGATCGCCCAAGCACCCAAGATCACCCAAGCACCCAAGATTGCCCAACCCCCCAAGATCGCCCAACCCCCCAAGCTCTCCGAAGCACCCAAGGTCACCCAAGCACCCAAGATCGCCCAAGCACCCAAGATCGCCCAACCACCCAAGATCGCCCAAGCACCCAGGTTCGCCCATGCACCCAAGATTGCCCAAGCACCCAAGATCGCCCAAGCACCCAAGATCGCCCAAGCACCCAAGATTGCTCAAGCACCCAAGATCGCTCAAGCACCCAAGATTGCCCAAGCACCCAAGATTGCCCAAGCACCCAAGATTGCCCCCCTCCTCCCCTTCCCCTCCCTGTCTTACCCCACATGGCCAGACTCAACTCACCCGCTGTTGTCCGACCCAGCAGCCACATTCCCAAAGAAGCTGTTGAAGGGAGTGGCCAGCCAAAACACACTCGGCTGCTTGTCCGTGTGAAACCCGTACGGGTCACTCGTGTCCGGCGGAATCACCCGCTCCACCTGCCGCACACTCATCCCCAGGTTCCTCCGAAACACATTCCCAGTCTCCGACCCTTCCTCCACTAAGAAACAGTGCCCCTTGGTCTCATAGGTGACGTTGTCCTCTATACTCATGTTGCTCGTAGCATGGATCACCATACAACGTTGCTTCGTGTGCACGATCGCGTTCTTTCGCACAACGTGCGGCTGAGATGCGTCTGCCGGGAGCCCGCACACGTGGAAGTGCAGAGGGTAGCGGCCCAGCGTGCCCTGGTGGCCCAGTCCTCGGAACTGAACCCCTTCTATGGTCTGAGGGGTGGGCGTCATATACACCATGAAGTGGCCGCCTGGTGGATGGAACGGAGACAGGGGAAGGGGGACGGGGGAAGGGGGAAGGGGGGCGGGGAAGGGGACGGGGGAAGGGGAAGGGGGAAGGGGACGGGGGAAGGGGGAAGGGGGGCGGGGGAAGGGGGGCGGGTGTTGGGAATCAGGGAGGCCATGAGCTGAGGTGCAGCAGCGGAAGTGAAGTGCAAGTGCAGGGGGTAGCGCCCCAGCATGCCCTGGTAGCAGCCCAGGGTGCCCTGGTGGCACTGGTGGCCCTGGTGGCCTGCACACGTGTAAGTGCAAGGGGTAGCGCCCCAGCGTGCCCTGGTGGCCCAGACCCTGGAACTGCACACCCTCGATGGTCTGCGGGGTGGGCGTCATATACACCATGAAGTGGCCGCCTGTAGGGGGGAGGGGGAGGGGGGAGAGAGAGGGGATTCAGGGGAGATGAGGGGAGGAAAGGGGGAGCCCGCACACGTGGAAGTGCAGGGGGTAGCGGCCCAGGGTGCCCTGGTGGCCCAGACCCCGGAATTGCACCCCTTCAATGGTCTGAGGGGTGGGCGTCATATACACCATGAAGTGGCCGCCTGGTGGAGGGGGGAAAAGGACGCGAGGAGCAAGGGATGGTCTCAGGGGACGCGTTGAGAGGAGGTCTCCCCCCCCAGGAGCCTCCACGCGTGTAAGTGCAAGGGGTAGCGCCCCAGCGTGCCCTGGTGGCCCAGACCCCGGAACTGCACGCCCTCGATGGTCTGCGGGGCGGGCGTCATATACACCATGAAGTGGCCGCCTGGTGGTGAGTGAGAGGCAGGGGGAAAGGGGGGTTCAAATGGTGGTGGTGAGTGGGGTACGAGAGGGACTGCAAAGTTCTGGTGTGGGGAAGAGAACGGGGGAGGACGTACTTTCAACAGAACGTTCTTTTAGCATGCATTAGTGCCTGCCTTACTTACCGTCGTACTGGTGTGGTGTGGGCTCGTCTGTGCCCTGTATGACAATCCGCCTATCCAGCATCTCCACCTCAGCACGAATATCGAAGCTACCGCCAAAGCCGCCCTTCACCGATCCCCCCCTGCGCATGCCTTACCGTCGTACTGGTGTGGGGCGGGCTCATCCGTCCCCTGAATGACAATCCGCCTATCCAGCATCGCCACCTCAGCACGAATGTCGATGGTACCGCCAAAGCCATCCGGCACCGATGTGCCCTCGTGCGTGTGAGAGAGGGGCGAGGTGAGCGTGATGCGGGAAGTTGTTGGGGAGACAAGGGTGACTGCAGGGGGGAATTGGGAGTGGAGGAGGGGAGGCGGAAGAGTTAAGGATGGTTAAAGACAGCAGTACTGTCAAAGCCATCCGGCACCGATGTGCCCTCGTGTGTGTGGGAGGGGCGAGCTGAGGGTGATGCGGGAAGTTGTTGGGGGGACAAGGGTGACTGCAGGGGGAATTGGGAGTGGAGGAGGGGAGGCGGAAGAGGTAAGGATGGTTGAAGACGGCAGTACCGCCAAAGCCACCCGGCACCAATGTGCCCCATGCGTGTGAGAGAGGGGCGAAGTGAGGGTGATGCGAGACGTGGTCGGTGAAACCAGGGTTACTGCTGGGGGGAGGGGGATGGGAGGAAGAATTGGATGCCAGGGTACTGCTAGAGGCATCCGGCACTGATCCTTCGAGCGTGTGGAAGAGGGATGAGGTGAGGGGTGACGTGGCGGGGCAAACAAGGGTGACTGTAGGGGGAATGATAGGGACAGGGAGCAGGAGGGGAGGGGGGGGGGGAATGTTGATGGTGGCACCGCGAAAGCCAGCACGCACACTGATCCATCCTCATGCGCATGGGACTGCTTTTGAGTCGACTTAAAAGCGGACGTTGATGGTGGCACTGAGAAAGTCAGCTGGCACACTGATCCATCCTCGTGCGTGTGGGAGGGGGTGAGGTGAGGGTGATGCGCAAAGTTGTTGGATACACTAGGTAGGGTGACTGTTGGGGGGCGAGGGGTATGCAACCACGCCCCCCCGGTGTGCAACCTCTGTGCGCAAGTCCACCCACCACGCAAGTCAAGGGCTGCATTACTAGGGCAGCATGCCTGGAGCAGCATGCTCCTCTAACCGGTGTGCTTTCGACAGGTGTGCTTTCGACCGGTGTGCTTTCGACCGGTGTGCTTTCGACCGGTGTGCTTTCGACCGGTGTGCTTTCGACCGGTGTGCTTTCGACCGGAGTGCTTTCGACCAGAGTGCTTTCAACCGGTGTGCTTTCGACCGGTGTGCTTTCGACCAGTGTGCTTTCGACCGGTGTGCTTTCGACCGTTGTGCACTCCACCGGTGTGCTTTCGACCGTTGTGCACTCCATCGGTGTGCTTTCGACCGGTGTGCTCTCGACCGGTGTGCTTTCGGCCGATGTGCTTCGACCAGTGTGCTTCGACCAGTGTGCTTCGACCAGTGTGCTTCGACCAGTGTGCTTTCGATCGATGTGCTTTCGACTGGTGTGCTTTCGGCCGGTGTGCTTTCGACCGGTGTGCATTTGACCAGTGTGCACTCGACCGGTGTGCTTTCCACCGGTATGCTTTTGATCGGTGTGCATTCGACCAGTCTGCATTCCACCGGTGCGCCTTCGACCGGTGTGCTTTCGACCGGTGTGCTTTCGACCGGTGGGCTTTCGACCGGTGTGCTCTCGACCGGATGCATTCGACCGGTGTGCTTTCGACCGGTGTGCTTTCAACCGGTGTGATTTCGACCGGTGTTCTTTCGACCGTTGTGCTTTCAACCGGTGTGCATTCCACTGGCGTGCATTCCACCGGTGTGCCTTCGACCGGTGTGCCTTAGACCAGTGTGCTTTCAACCGGTGTGCTTTCGATCAGTGTGCATTCGACCGCTGTGCTTTCGACCATTGTGCATTCCACCGGTGTGCTTTCGACCAGTGTGCTTTCGACCAGTGTGCTTTCGACCGGTGTGCGTTCGATTGGTGTGCTTTCGACCGGTGTGCATTCCACCTAGGGATGGGCAACCGACTCGAGTTTTGACTCGACTCGATGACTCGACTCGCCCTTTTTTTGACTCCTCTGACTCGGCCTCAGTCGAGTCGGGTCGAGTCGACCTAGTTTCGAGTTTTGCTTGACTCGGTCTGGGAATTTGCACCGAGTCGCACCCGAGTCGAGTCATAAATTGGCTCGACCGAGACATTTCTCTCATATATAGGACAGTGGAATTTCCTGTTAAGCGACCAGAAACGCGTTTGGCGTTTTGGACGCCAGCATTTAAACGCTAAACGCTTGATTTTTGGCCTACCAAACGCTTAATATACGCTCGAACAGGCAGGCGGAAAAAAATCCGGGCAACTAAGGGTCTAGGCTTAGCGAGAGGTAAGTTCTAGGAGACGATATGGTGGCTTCTCAAGCAAAATTAGGTCAGCGGAATTGACAAGACAGGGATAGCGTGGAATTAGTTTAGAGCATGTTAGAGGGGCGGGGGGTTGATTGGATTCCGTAGTTGCAGACGGGTTCAGTGCGGTTGAAGTGGGGGAATCTGGTAGGAATTCGACTGTAGAGAGCACATTAGACGGCGGCGGGTTGGATTTCGTAGTTGCAATCGGGTTCAGTGCGGTTGAATTGGGGGAATTCGGTTGGAAGTCATTTTCTGGCGAGAATGTTGAAAAACCCGAGTCTCGAGTCGGAATCTTGGGGGGGCGACTCGGGTCCGACTCGACCCGGGTTGGGTCCGACTCGACCCGGGTTTGGCCCGACTCGAACGAGTCGAGACTCGGCTCGGATGAGTCGAGGCTCGACTCGCCCCTACTCATGCCTAATTCCACCAGTGTGCATTCCATTGGTGTGCATTCCACCAATCTGCATTCCACCGGTGTGTCTTCGACCGGTGTGCTTTCGACCAGAGTGCTTTCGATCGGTGTGCATTCAACCGGTGTGCTTTCGACCGGTGTGCTTTGACCGGTGTACTTTCGACGCGGTGTGCGTTCGATCGCTGTGCTTTCGACAGGTGTGCATTCGACCGGTGTGCTTTCGACTGGTGTGCTTTCGACTGGTGTGCTTTCGACCGGTGTGCATTCCATCGGTGTGCATACCACTGGTGTGCCTTCGACTGGTGTGCTTTCGACCGGTGTGCTTTTGACCGGTGTGTTTTCGACCGGTGTGATTTCGACCGGTGGGTGTGCTTTCGACCGGTGTGCTTTCGACCAATGTGCTTTCGACCGGTGTCCATTCCACCGGTGTGCCTTCAACCAGTGTGCTTTCGACTGGTGTGCTTTCGACCGGTGTGCTTTCGACCGGTGTGCTTTCAATTGGTGTGCATTCCACCCGTGTGCAATCCACCCGTGTGCCTTCGACCGGTGTGCTTTCAACTGGTGTGCTTTCGATCGGTATGCTTACATCCATTGTGCTTTCGACCCGTGTGCTTTCGACTTGTGTGCATTCGACTGGTGTGCTTTCGACCGGTGTGCATGGACCAGTGTGCTTTCGACCGATGTGCTTTCGACCAGTGTGCTTTCGACTAGTGTGCTTTCGACCGGTGTGCATTCCATCAGTGTGCATTCCATCGGTGTGCATTCCTCCGGTGTGCCTTCGACCGGTGTGCTTTCGACCTGTGTGCTTTCGACCGGTGTGCTTTCGATCGGTGTGCTTTCGATTGGTGTGCTTGCGATCGGTGTGCATTCCACCGGAGTGCTTCCGACAGGTGTTCTTTCGACTAGTGTGCTTTCGATCGGTGTGCATTCGACCGGTGTGCTTTCAACCGGTGTGTTTTCCACCGGTGTGCTTCCGATCGGTGTGCTTCCGAGCAGTGTGCTTTCGACTGGTGTGCTTTCGACCGGTCTGCTTTCGACCAGTGTGCTCTTGACCGGTGTGCTTTCGATTAGTGTGCATTCCACCGGTGTCCATTCCACCGGTATGCCTTCGACCAGTGTGCTTTCGACCGGTGTGATTTCGATCTGTGTGCATTCGATCGGTCTGCTTTCGACCGGTGTGCTTTCCACCGGTGTGTGCATTCGACCGAGGTGCATTCAACCGCTATGCTTTCGACCGGTGTGCATTCGACCATTTGCATTCCACCGGTGTGCTTTCGAACAGCATGCATTGGACCGGTGTGCATTGGACCGGTGTGCATTGGACCAGTGTGCTTTCGACCGGTGTGCATTCCACCGGTGTGCATTCGACTGGTGTTTTTTCGACCGGTGTGCTTTCGACCTGTGTGCTTTCGGACCAGTGTGCTTTCGACCAGTGTGTTTTCGACCTGTGTGCTTTCGACGGGTGTGCTTTCGACGGGTGTGCTTTCGACGGTGTGCTTTCCACCAGTGTGCCTTCGACCGGTGTGCCTTTCGACCGGTGTGCTTTCGACCGGTGTGCTTTCGATCTGTGTGCATTCGACCGGTCTGCTTTCGACCGGTGTGCTTTCGACCAGTGTGCATTCGACCGGTGTGGATTCGACCGGTGTGCTTTCAACCGGTGTGCATTCGACCGTTGTGCATTCACCGTTGTGCATTCCACCGGTGTGCATTCCACCGGTGTGCTTTCGACCAGTGTGCTTTCGACCGGTGTGCTTTCGACCGGTGTGCTTTCGTCCGGTGTGCTTTCGTCCAGTGTGCTTTCGTCCGGTGTGCTTTCGACCTGTGTGCTTTCGACCGGTGTGCATCGACCGGTGTGCTTTCGACCGGTGTGCTTTCGACCGGTGTGTTTTCGACCGGTGTGCTTTCGATCGGTGTGCATTCCACCGGTGTGCCTTCCACCGGTGTGTTTTCGACCGGTGTGCTTTCGATTGGTGTGCTTTCGACCGGTGTGCTTTCGATCGGTGCGCATTCCACCGGGTGTGCGTTCCACCAGTGTGCCTTCGACCGGTGTGCTTTCGACCGGTGTGCTTTCAACCGGAGTGGTTAAAGTAAAACCAGCATTGCTCCCAAGCCCCATGCTACCTGGTTCGATCTCCCGGCCCTCGGCCTTGTTAGAATCCGCGCTGCTGGCAGCAACAGCAACAGTGATGGCAAATCACTGTTGAGGTATTCGATAAATCCATAAGGCAAGACCTACTCACCCACCGGCCTCTCTATCTCCCTGCTCTCTGCCTCATTCAAATCCGCGCTGGTGGGAGCTACAGCAACAGTCATGCCTCGAGGCACCTATATGCCCTCAATGCAAGACCTTCTGACTCACCTGATTCGATCTCCCTGCTCTCAGCCTCGCTGAAATCCGTGCTGGTGGCAGTGACAGCCACAGTGAACCCCGGTGGCCATGCCATCACATCCCCCTCCGCCACCAGCTGCCTCTGCCCTCACCAACCACCATAACGCACGCGCATTCACTCACCAGCCTCTCCCTGCTCTCTGCCTCGTTGAAATTCGTGCTGGTGGCAGCAACAGCAGTCATGGCCTACAGCACCTATATCATGCCCTCAAGGCAAGACCCAGTCACCCACCTGATTCGATCTCCCTGCTCTCTGCCTCGTTGAAATCCGTGCTGGTGGCAGCAACAGCCACAGTGAACCCCGGTTGCCACGCTGTCACATCCCCTCAACCACCAGCTGCCTCTGCCCCGCTGCTGCTGTTGCCGCCAAGCGCACCCACGAGGGAGTGTCTGCTCCCCCCGGCATGCCATGTAGGTCCACTTGCCCGCCACCTGTTGAATCCAGAAGTGGAGAACAAAAGATGTTATGGTTCAGAAAGGACAGCCGCACATGGCGTCACATCCCCCTCCACACCAGCTGACTTCCGAGTCTACTCAGAAGTCACCTGTTGAATCCAGAAGTGGAGGAACAAAAGGATGCTATGGTTCAAAAAGGATAGTTGCACATGGCGTCACATCCCCCTCAGCCATCAGGTGCTCTGCCCGACTGCTGGAGTGTCTGCTCCCCCCGGCATGCCATGAAGGTCCACCTGTCCGCCCAGCTGTTGCATGATACAGGCAAAGGCGAAAATGAAAGTGGGGTTATCAAAGTGCGTGTGCCCATCTCTCTCCCCCTGCTGCTGCTGTTTCTGCCAGCCGCACCCACGAGGGTGTGTCTGCCCCCCCGGCATGCCGTGCAGGTCCACTTGACCACCCACCTGTTGCATCGGATGCAGAACGTACTTAGAAGGAAGAGACGGATAAATTACAGGAGGACATAGTAGGTCAGACAAGCCAGGTGCACATGCCGTCACATCCCCCTCAGTCACCAGCTGCCGCGACCCTGCTGCTGCTGTTGCTGCCAGGCGTACCCACGAGGGGGTGTCTGCTTCGCCCCCACCTTGTGCCCCAGGTCCCGAGGGCTCCCTTTGCGAGTGGGGGACACGCCTCAGACCAGGACAAATGTGATGTGATGTGATGTGATGTGATGTGATGTGATGTGATGTGATGTGATGTGATGTGATGTGAGGGGCAGAGTCACACTCACCACAGCAACGCCTTGTGCCCCAGGTCTCGGGGATTCCCTCTGTCAGCAGGCGGCACTTTTCGGAGCATGTACGGCTTTCTGCCGCCCGAGTAGCCCGTGTTGGGGTGCAGAGTGACTGTGAGGCGCGAGGACAGCTGGCGGGACGCTGAGCCTGCAGTGAGGCGGCCCATAACGAGGATGAAACGGGCTTTGACGCGGATGTGCGGGAGCTTGGGCGAGTCCAGGACTCTGGAGGGAGGAACGGGGGGGGGAGGCCGGAGGCGGGGATGGGGGAGGAATGAATTGTGAGTTTTTTTAAGAAAAGGCGAGCGGCGGGCCAATGAGGATGAAGCACAATTTGACGCGGATGTAAGGCAGCTTGGGCGAAGAAAAGGGGAGATGTGTTTTTTTATGGATTAAACACACAGAAGTCACCCTCACAGCAGTCACACTCGCAGCAGTCACACTCACTTGAGCAGCCTTTGATCTTGAGCTCCCAACTCTCACTTCAGGCATGTCCAGCAGGATCGCCGCACCGCACGGTATAGTCACATCCCTCCACTGCAGCAACCCGCGCCCAGGCACGCCAAAGAGGAAGGTAAACCCTGAATTTCTTGCGCCACTTCCAGGGGACCAGGGACTGCTGGCCCCACGTCTTTGGGTCGCTCCACCTCTTCCAGCCTGAACAAAAAGGAGGGACGGGAGGAGAATCGGGGAGAGGGAAAGCTTTTTGCGCCACTTCCAGGGGACCAGGGACTGGCGGCCCCAAGTCTTGGGGTCACTCCACCGCTTCCAGCCTGAGACATCGCCAGCCCACTGGGAAATATTATGCTCGACAAACGAAGACGTAGCCGAACCATGGAGAGACGGGTCTGCAGGGAGCCCTCTGCACACGGGCTTGTAGGCGTCGGTGACGCGGAAAGGAGCAGGGGGGCAGTGGGGAGCAGTGGGGAGCAGCGGGGAGAAGCGAGAACTAGGCGGGCACGGAGGGATGTAACAGGATGCACCATGACGGGGGGTTCGCGGGAAGGCCCCACAGACGGGTTTGTAGGCGTCAGTGACGCGGAATGGGCAGCGAGGAGCAGCCAGGGCTAGGAGCAGAGGGAGGGACGTAGCAGGACGCACCGTTTCGCGGCGGGTTCGCAGGAAGCCCTCCGCAGACGGGCTTGTAGGCGTCGGTGACGCGGAAAGGAGCGAGAGCTAGGGGAACACGAGCGACTGGCTACCGTTGAGGAGGGGAGAGGACGGGGTGAGTAAGACGAGGAGGAGGAGTAGAAGGTAGGAGGGAGAAGGAGACGATGGTGGGGAAGGAAGAGTGGGATTGGACGAGGGTGGGTCAGTGGACGCGTGGAATGCTGGAACCGGGAATTGCGACCATGAGATGGTTTGGAGGCGCCATGAACGCAGCTGCTGTTGTACGCATGCGAAGAAGGTTTGGTAGCTGCTGCTGCTGCGCTGCTGCTGCTGTTATGCTATTGCGGGCGAATGATGGAATCAGATCAGCTTGAAAGCTGCTAAAAATACCTGGGCTAGCTAAGGAATGCCAGACCGGGACTGCCAAACCGGGACTGCCAGGCCGGGACTGCCAGGGGACTGCCAGACCGGACTGCCAGGCCGGACTGCCAGACCGGGACTGCCAGGCCGGGACTGCCAGACCAGGACTGCCAGGCGGGACTGTCAGCCGGCGGGGCTGTCAGACCAGCGACGACAGGTATCCTAATTTGGTTCGTTTTCTAACCCGTGGATAATTATAAGGCTGGCTCGTATTTGACTAATGCAGTAGCGTGAATTGAGGAAATTGGACTAGGCTACCTATTGGTCACTGAAGTTAATAGCGGAGGCTTCTAGAACGAGGTGCATGCGAATCTGTGTGACTGTCCTCGTCGTCGCTGGAAGTGGTTACTGATGTCGTTACGGCGTCGCGAGAGACAGCTTCTACGCGTGGTACGTGCGATCTGTGCGACTGACGTGGTAGTCGCCGAGAAGTGAGAGACGTCACTAGAGGGACCGTCACTAAAGGTGGAACGCCATGGCGTTTCGTGACGAGGCCGTTTCGTCTTGCTCTAAGCCTAAACGAGGGACAGCAGCGACTCGGCATCTCAGAACTGGGCGAAGGAACTTATAAGCAGCACCGCAGCATTAGCAGCATTCGTGGTGGGAGTCTAATGGCGAGATAGAGACGACTCTATGGCATCCGTAACTGCAACTTCAGGTAGCTTCATGGTCGCATGAGCATAGTTGTTCTAGCGCGACTGTAGCCGACGGCGTTAACGAACGGCTCTACTTGAGGCTCTAAAAGCCTGACGCGTCTCTGTTAGTGTCCAGCAGCCTGACGTGCGAAATTTCGCAAAAATTGTCGCCAACACTCTCTGCATTCGACCGTAAGCTAAAAAACGTCCAAGCTTCCGGAAGCATTCTCAAAGACACAAGGCCGACCAGGAGCTTACGAGATACGCTACAAACTAGCAGTAACTGGTGACCAACACGATGTTCTAGTACGCCTGGTCAATATCATCAAAACCGTCTTTTGCTGCTGCTGCTACTACGTATTGTCGGCACACTCTCCTAAAAGTCTCCTCTACTCGCTCGCTGACAGCACTTCTTACACCTCCACTAAGCAGTACAGTAAACTAGGAATTGTTCTAGCGGAGGCTTGTTCACCAGGGAAATTGCAGCTCGGGAATAGTCGAGCTTGCTCTTTTTATTCCCGTTAGAGGACGTAGGAACTGGACTCGTTATTCACAACGTGCTGGTCCAGCAGTGCCGACCTTTCGCGCACTTCTCAGGTCAGATTCTGACTCGCTTCGCGCCTCGAACAACCAGCCCAGCTCTTCTGAACTGCGCATGGGTTCGCAGGGCAGTCGCCACCGCCCTCATTCGCAAGTTTTTGTTCATAAGATACTACATAAGACTTACAAACTTGATAAGCACCGTCTAATCTAGATGATATATCACCATGCTAGGTTAATAATACAGATATGTACTTTTGGAACTCTCCAAATATATCAAGAAAACAAACTTTGTACTTGCTTACAAACTGATGTTTAATATGGCTACAAGATCGGGTCCTTGTTACTAAGCTAATTCAAGTTATTTGCAATGCGCTCTCTCAACATCCATAACGTGCCCAGTTGTCCTTCACGCTCACAGGGGGGTTGGCGAATGTCGACACCATACGGGGATCTCTTTGAATGATAAGCCACCTGAAAGCACATCGTTGCAAACGGAGGTCACACACCATATGCGCCGACATGATACACTATCACATGCCAAGTGCCAGCAACTCCCAGATCCAACACAACCCAAATTTAGGAGACGTATTGGTGTGTATTTTACCTTGGATTGTGCGAACTTCAGGCCGTGTGCTGTGCTGACCACGACAGTGCGATCATTGGGGCAATCACTCCCCGGCTCCGCAGCTTCTTCAGCGCAGCCAGAGCCACCTGTAGAAGCACGGGGAGGGAGGGTGGCATGGAGACGAAACACCAGTCAATCATTAACAGCCAGGAACGGTCGAGGGAGGAAAGGAGATAGTAGAGGGAGGGATGAACCACAACAAGGGAAAGAGCAGCGAGGGGGGGGAGATTGGGGGCAGGGGGAGGGGGGGGGAGTGGGGGAGGGAGGGAAGAGAGGAGAGAAGGAAATGGAAGTGCAGGTGGCAAGGCACTCACTCCTGTGTGTGGGCATTGAAATGCCGTGAGATCTGCCTCTGCAGCAGCATCCATGAGTCCTGCTCTGTGGCCTCCTCCACAATGCGTTGACGCCTGGAGGAGAGGCAGGCAGGGAAGCACAGGAATGGCATGGGGCATTAGTTGAAGAGAGATGGAAAGTATGGCTGCTTTCGAAGGGAACGCGCATTTGCCCACAGCAGCGAGGGTGTCACGGCCCTACTGAACTAAATGGGAGAATGGATAGTGAATTCAGAATCCCTGACCTTACGAACAGGTACTGGGCATGTGAAGATGGCTTAAGAAGGAGCCACATCTAAAGGCGGAGGCAAGCATTCTGCAGCTCTCGGCCACTGCTCACAGCATCAGCATACAACGCAATCTGAATGCCCGCAGCTCACCTTGAGCGCAAAGATAGCCGGTCAATGGAGACGGGGTCGCCATCTGGATGGCGAGGCGAAGGTCTGCGTGCCCTACAGGCTCAAACTGCTCAAAGCCCTTTCTGGTACGAAGGTAGGCGGGTTGGCGTTGGTGCTGGGCGCAGACCTGTGAGAAGAGAGGGAGGGGAGAGGAAAAAAAAGGTGAGGATGAGTGGAGGTCAGCAGGGGCCATGGAAGAGCGCAAAAAGGTCACACTCGCAGATGAGATAGAGTGGGAAGAGAAGGGGAATGGGTGGGGTGTGCAGGAGAACAGTGAGGGGGAAAGACGAGATCAACGTGAGGAGGAACAATGGCGAGGAGCTGAAGGGGTCAGCACCGTAGTAATTTGGGTCCACATGACATTTTCGGTCAGGGATAACTGTGAAAAGAGTGCTCATCATACCCTTTCACAACGCAGCACAGGTAAAACAGACAAGTGAAATAACACGTACCCTCACTATAGAGTCAAACAGTTGCAATGATGGACTTGTGGCATCAGATAGGGCGAAAATTTGCTTTTCACGGAGCACGAATGCATTCATCTAACTATGAACTTCAATCACATTGCCACATGCCATCATCACCAGCTCCTGATACCATTCACTAACACCTACCACGTTCCCTACATCGAGATCCATCCAGAGGGTCAGCACCGTAGTAATTTGAGTCAACATGACAGTTCAGTCAGGGATAACTGTGATAAAAAAATGTGCTCATCACACCCTCCTTTTCCCCCTTCGCGTGACCTCCCCCTATCCCTACCCAGTCTCCTCCTCTGTCCTCCCTACCCTATCCCTCCATCGAATCAAGAGGGTCAGCATCAACTTATGAGTCAACATGACAGTTCAGTCAGGGATAACTGTGATAAAAGATTGCTCATCACACCCTCCTCCCTCAACCATCCCCCCTCCAACTACCCCAACTCAACTCGTCCCTCCAGACTCGAGTAACCAAACCCAAAACGCGAGAGACAAATGACCGTACGGGAAAGAAGGAAAGACGACCGTACGGGAAATTCAGAAAGGCAAGCAGGCGGGCAGCTGGCATCAGATAGGGGCGAAATTGAGTTTTCCTGGACGCACGAATGCGTCTCATCTGAACTATGCATACTTCAATCAACATCTGCCACACTTGACCGCCCAAGCAGAAAAAAAGACCGAACCACGACTGAACTGAACCACAAAAGGCCCAAAGGTACCACAACTCAGCCCAGACAGACGAAGGCGACAGAAGCATGGCCAAAAAAGGGCTTCAGGAACGAGAGACAATGAAACCATGCTACTGTTTGCACAGGCACGAAACACAGGTGAACGAAACAAGCAGCTTCACTCAAACGCTTCACAGCAGGCCTCAGTAACATGGGATATCAACAGGCGGTGATTCAGCCATATGCTTGTCAATTTATTTAGAATCATCAACGGCCATCGCAAAGCTGAGCTCCTGTTTGAGCGGTGCAATAGATTCTAAAAGTCACTCTGATAGCCAGAGAAGGGGAAAGGCTCCGAGTTAGAAGACACAAAAGGAGGAAACCGCTTACGAGGGCAAGAGAAACGCAAGCGGTCAAAAATCGGTTTCTACGAAGCTCACAGCAACGGGGTCTCAGTAACATGATTTATCAACAGGCGGTGATTCAGCCATATGCTTGTCATTATGTTTTAAGATCGTCCTTGGCCCTCATAGCACGGCGAGCTTCGTCAGTCGCGCAAAACCACTTGAAACACGAAGTGAAGAGTACGAAGAGGGAGGGGGGGGGGGGAGGGGAAGGGGTATGAGGAGGACGGGGATGAAAGGGAGAGGGGAAGGTGTTCTCACCAGACGGGGAATGCGGTCCACGAGACCCATCTCCTTGCACATGTAGAATCCCTTGTAGAACGCGTAGATGTTCCCCAGATTACCTGCAGGAGAACCGAGGGGCCAAGGGAGGGTACGTCAGCAGGAAGACAAGACCGAGCAGCAGAGAAGCATGCGAGCAAGACAAGATAACACATTTCAGATCTCATGTTCTTAGATCCACAATCAGGACAACCAGGGAGGGGGTGGTGGTGGTGGTGGGGAGGGGGGGGAGGGGGGGAAGAGAAGGAGAAGGGAGGGGGGAGACAGACGTGGAAAAAGTAGCAGGGAAGTCAACGAATTCACACGAGTCAACGCACCTCCAGACACGATGACCCAGTCGGGCACCTCCCACTCGAACTGCAGGCAAATCTCGATGGCGGCCGTCTTCTGCCCCTCGAGACGCAGCAAAAAAAGTCAATTAGTCAACGAGTCAACGCACCTCCGGGCACGATGACCCAGTCGGGCACCTCCCACTCGAACTGCTGGCAGATCTCGATGGCGGCCGTCTTCTGCCCCTCGAGGCGCAGCGAGTTGAGCGAGTTGGCAAGGTAGATGGGCAGCTGCGCCGTCACGTCGCGGATCAGCCGCATGCACCCGTCGAAGTCCGTGTCGATCAAGACGAGCGCGCCGTTCGCGATGGGCTGCACGAGCTGAGCGAGAGAGATCCTGGGACGAAACAGGTGAATCAAGAAGGACGGTAAATCAGCAGGAGGGAGCGGAGGGACTGGGTGAGATTGGCGCTTGCAGTGCAGACGGAACGGATAAGCCAGCCATGAGCGAAACGTACTTGTTGGCGGGGAGGAAGACAATAGCGGGGATGCCAGCGGCAGCGCAGTAGGCGGAGAGAGCGGCGGAGGTATCGCCGGTGGAGGCGCATCCGACGGCTGCCAGGGGCTTGTTCATCTTCCGAAGCCGGTTCACCTGACTCACGAGCACCGTCATGCCGAGATCCTGGCGGGGAAGAGGATACAAACGAACGGAAAAGCATTCGATTAGAAATTGCCCGGTTCCATCAACGAAAGGAAGGGGGAAACGCACGCGGGTGACGCCGTGTGGCTCGAGGGATTGAGGAAAAGAGGGATAGCGTAGAGAATGTACTGTAACTTGGAGGGTGCCGTAACTTGGAGGGTACCGTAACTTGAAGGGTACCGTACCTTGAAGGAGCCTGTGTGGCTGTTGCCGCACTGGCTTGACCCAGAGGTCGGTCATGCCGAGCTCCTTGCCGTAGCGCTCGGCCCAGAAGAGGTTGGAGTTGCCCTCGAACATGCTCACAATGTCGTCGTTGTCGATTCCCTGTGCAGTCAACGACAGAACAATCAAACGAAAATAAACAACCTTAGATCGTTAGTTCGATGAGGGGCGAGGGCACCGAGCAGGAGCAAATGGATGAAACAGAAACGTCCCAGTAGACCAAATCCGGCATACGATATATGGAAACGTACAGGGAGAATCAGATCCGGCACACGGATATACGGAGACGTACCGGGAGAACCCATTCCTTCTTGCTCCACACTCCTGATCCGTAGGGCCACGTGTGCTTGCCGACCCGCGAGTCGAATAGCTTCTTCCAGTAAGCGGCCGTCGTAGCGCTTGAGGGCCTCGTAGTCGTGCTGCACGTCCAGCAGCAGGCCTGCACAGGTCCACCAGACCACGCATAAGATCCCAGGTCAGATCTAGAGAAAAAACATCTTGGATAATGGAATTAACATTTCTCGAATTATCTGGATCTTGCATGAGTCTGGACGCGCACCGTCAGGACTTGCGACAGTAAGGGACAGAAGAAATTTTGCGACGTCAGAAAAATTGCGATGTCAGAAAATGCGACCTTTCCAAATACATGTCAGGAAAAATGTCATGTAGAATGCGTACCGTCCTTGCTGGTGTAGATGACCTCGTCCAGCGAGTACTCCTCCGTCTGCGCCTGATTCGGCGAGAACGGAACGTACTTGGCCGAGAAAACATTCTGAGGGCTTTCAAGCTCTGAAACGGCGTCAGAGCAACGGAGGTAAGGAAGAAAAAACAGACTTAGACTAAAGGCAGCAAGGAAATCTCTTTAACAAGACATAGGGATTATCCGGCTAAATATGGAGTATGAGGCCAGTTGCGTACTAAAACAGCACAGGCAGAACTCATCAGGGGGAACTGATGCCTCTTGCTGACCTTCAATGCCGAAGGATGAAGCATGGTTTGACCCATAGGTACCTAGCGCAACCGGGGTTTAGGCCAGTAACTCCTGAAAATTCAGGGAACTGTATTCCACACACAAAGAGCAGATACTTGCAAAGACCAAGGACCTACCCTGTCGAGGTGCCTCGTGCCGGAAATCCCCTTCTTTCTTCGGCGTCACAACAGTCGAATCTGCAGCTTCGGCGACGACTCGCACGCCGGTGGACACCACTGGTCGGTGCTTCGATTGACCAGCTGAAGCCTTCTTAGAAAGCACCAGGGAGGTCTTTTTCAAGCCATTGAACGGCAGTAGAGCAGCGGAATGTTTAAGAAATGGGGATTCGGATTAGACGCTGCTGCACGAGCAAGTGAGCAAGCAGACGACGACGTGGCTGAAGACATTACAGCCGCCATCGCAGAAAATTGTAGGAGAGTCCCAGACCTGGAAAATTCTCAGACTCGTCTCTACTCGTTCTGCTAAGCCGCAGAAAACTCTAGCACTGCGCTGGAAGCAGCTGAGTGAAATAAAACCACAGGCTTCCAGATACAACGTAGGTAGACAAGCCTCAAACCAAGCACACCTCCGCCTAAGAAGAAAAGGGAGGGAAATGAGGTGTTGTAGGAATGGGGTGAGGTTCTGCTTGCAGGCTGTTGGGATTGCCAAGAGGAGGAGGGGAGGGGAGGGGGTTTCCCCCGGGAGGAAAATGGGATTCCTGAGGAGATAGAGCATCTGCTGGCGGCGGAGCGGGTGTTTTGTGAAGCACTGTTGGCATGGCGGAAGAGGGTTCTTCTTCGCAGTACAGTACAGGGGCGGGAGCGGGGAGCAGAAAGTTGAGGGGGGGGAATGCGCAAACCCCCGCTGACCTTGTGTGATGATGATGTGGACTGTGTGGCGCGCGAGTGGATGACCCTAGCATGGCTCTACTTGATCGGAGACCGTTGCGGCGGGGAGCTGTGATTGGCTGCTGAGATGCAAATCAGGGAATGAGGTGGCAGCCTCTCCTGCATGTGTCGTGCTTCTACAGAGCTTTGGCAAAAGTGTACACTAATACACTAAGACTAAACATCCTCAGAATATGAATTTAAAAATAAACTACAAGGCCAATGTGACCTTGAGAATGGAGAGTATAATGCGTCCACTTCATCCACAATACTTTTACCACCCCTCTTTCGCTGATAACTTAGTTGGTGCGCGACGTCTCCTGCCAGCACACCCTCTTGCTTGAACATTGACTTCTGGCCTGGCCCCGTAGCCAGCGCTCTTCCCCCCTTTCCTAACCTCCCTCCATCGGACTCCATTCTCTCTCCGTTCAACCGCATTCCTCCCCTTGCCTCCCTCACCATCCTTCTCCTCCATGCACTTTCACTCCTGATCCTTTCCAACTCCTTCTCCACATCAGCATCGACGGGCAGCTTGTATCTAATTCGGGCAGCCTCGGTCTGAAAATCCTTCAGCATATCCCGAGTAATCTGTGTGCTGATCCCCCTCAAGTAGTGCGACAAGATGGGAGGCGGAGAGAGCGCGGGCTGCACTACCTGACAAAGCTGAACGGTGGTGGCCACACGCATCGGATTCTGCGGCTGGTGGTGATGGTGGTGGCGGGGTTGACGCTCATTCAGCAAACTGCCGAAAAAGGCCCGTGGGGAAGAGCTGCCAGCTGGCTCTTTCCCGTTGGTTGCAACGACACCAGAGGGACCAGTGGCTGTTGCAAACGAGGATGCTGATGTCGGGGTTTTGGAAGACAGGTCGACTGAGCTAGTGGTGGGGGGAGGAATGGAGGAGGAGGGAGGGACAACGAGCGGCTCCAGCTGCCAGTGGCCCTCAAACTGCTTCATGAATCCCGGCTTGATGAGACGAAACGACATCTGATGGAAGGACGGAAGAGGAAGTGGGGAATTTGACAGAAATTACCAACAGCTACATGAGATGTAAACTCGGGAACAGCCGGTGAAACGCAACTCGTGAACACACACAGGCAAGTGACATTTGGTGAACGCACGCACCAAGGCTGGGCCAGTCCTGCTTGACTCTCAGCCGCACATCAAATGTCCCCGAGACCAAAAAAGAAAGGGAGCCTCCATCTGGCTCCCTGCTGCAACTCCAACTCCTCCTGCTCCTCGGCTTCTGAGCCAACTCACAAAACACCTACCCTGAGGTTGGGTCTGTCCTGCTTGACTCTCAGCCGAACGTCAAAGGTTCCTGAGAGGAAGAGGAACCTCCACCTTGCTCCCTGCTGCAGCTCCACCTCCTGCACGTCGCCATCGTCGTACAGCACGTTCCGATAGCTCACATCCTGCTCGGAGAAAGGAGGGGAAAGCGAGTGGAGGTTGGATCACTTGTCACTCATTCCTTGCGCCCTCCTGCACCTCGGCATCGTCGTACAGCACGTTCCGGTAGCTCACATCCTGCCATGTGGCATCATGCCACGCGATGCCACGTAGTACCATGCCATGCCATGTCATTTCATGTCATGTAATGCAATGTCACATCATGCATAGAGATTCCACATTAATCTACGGAATTAAAGCGCCATGGAGATCCCCCATTTCCCATGTGCACTCTACCCCCCCCGTTTGGCTACTCAGGCACCCATGTACGCGTGTGTGCACTCAGATGAACAATCATATCCTCTTTCTTTCACCTCAGCCCAGAGCATAGACACTAAAACAACCCCACACAGATGACTACCCCCCCTTCTTACCCCCACCACCGAACACACGCACACACAAACACACACGCACGCACACGCGCGCGCACACACACACACACAAAAAGCACAATTCTGAATGACACAACACACCGTGATATTCTTGAAGACTCTCCGATTGCTGGGGTCACAGAGTGTGCTATAAACGAGGTCCGGGGGCAGCGCCAGCTGAAACTGGGCGTCCATTCGGCAGAAGGAGCCTTTAGGAACTGACACCTTCACAGTGAGGTGGGATGATGAATTGGGGAAGAAGGAAAGGTGCACATTCTGCTTATAACGAGGTCCGGGGCAGCACCAATGGAAACGGGGCGTCCATTCGGCAGAAGGAGCCTTTAGGGACTGACACCTTCACAGTAGGGTAGGGAGGTGAATTGGAGAAGAGGAAATATGTGCATTATGCTTATAACGAGGTCCGGAGCAGCGCCATCACGAACTAGAAGACCGGTCAGCATTGTGACCCTCACGGAGTGACTTTTTCAAAGAAATTGGGGATGGATAAGGTCGGTGCCGCGAAAATTAGTGGCGGTGAAAGCAATTTGGGGGAGGGTTCGGCAGCAAATGAAGCCGGAGGCCACCCAAAAAAAGGTTTTTTTCTAGCTTCGCGCGGGTTAACCTCCCACTACCATACCTGGAGCTTAGGCTGTTCATCCTCCCATTCAGGGTCGGCGTGCCAAACCGCCAACTGCTGGCGCATGCTGTCCTCCCATGCACTCCCCCTTCTGTTCCCGTCATTGCTGTTACTACCAGCATGACCCCTAGGAGGACTGCCGACGCTGCCAGCGCCATCGGAACCAACCCCTCGATTCCAGATGCTGGCGCTGTTCCCGTTGCCACTCCTGCCGCGGAATAGGCCCGTCCAGCGACCTACATTACGGGAAGATTCAGGTGTTTTTGCATTAGCACCTCTTGCTGCATCTTTCTGAGAGAGCTCAAACGGCCACTTTATCGACGCCGCGTCGGGTAAGGTGAAACTGATGACGGCTTTCTGGAAATTGTTTGGAATGCCAGCAGCTACCGCGGTCGTCCAATCCGAGACATGCTTACGAAGAGACTCGGGAAATGACATCTGGAGACAGTGCAAGTTCGGGAAAAAGCGATGTGGCGATAAGGAACAGGTAGCTGTGTGCTTGTCGATCGCTAAACAGGGAACAATAGACGAGGCTGACGATGTAGGCAAGTGAAATGGCTTGTCAATTTCAAGAAACTCGGTCGTTACGTGCTAGCCCACCACCAGAAAATATCAGACTAGGAGAAACGATATCTCCTCTACTGTACCACAGCCGACGTGGTTCTGTTGTTGGAATAGATAGATAGACCCGAAACCCTCTAATGTACACCGCTGTATCCCAATCCAGCCGTCTGCTTCACAAACATTTCCTCACTCCCACTACGCAAAAGAATCTTGAAGAATGTAGCATTAGCATGTCCATAACCGCGAGCTAACTAATGGTTTCAAATTCCCACTCATGGCTGCACAAACTGTTCAAAAACTATCCCTTTAACCTCTGGTGATCTCATCAGGGTTGTTGCTCGAAGCACCCACGGCATCTTGGAAGTTGTTCTTTGCTGTATCATATAATGCTGTGAGCGAGTATGCTTGAAGGTCTTGAACTTCGTACCATGATTGCAACGGCTTCTTATCCTTATCAGTTCCAGAAAAGGCCACGTTGATCTGGCACAGGTGGTCAGGTTAGCATTGCAGAGAATTGCAGGCAGGATAATAACAGGCAAAACAGCTCTTACTGCAAGGCGGCAGGGTTCAGGATCAGAGGCAGTCTTCATGCTGCTGCACTGCTCTTCTGTAATCAGGCAGTTGCTGTTGTCCACACAGAGCGGGCTCACTGGCTGGCACGTTGACTCGGAGCAACCCATGTCCTTCCTGCACAAGGATGGCTGTATGGTATCCCTTACACTATGTGAACTTCTAAGGTAAATAGATTTGAAATCTCACCACACGAAAGAATCAAGGACTCCTCCTTTGAAATTGATGATAAGGATTAGGGAGGGAAGCCGTCCCTGCATGTGGACGCAGGCCATTCAGATAGCTAGCAACTAGAAATACCACATCATCAGGTGTTGCAGAAGTCAGCTCGTTACCAGAGGGGACAAGAATTGTCGCGGAGCAGATACGATCCCCCTTGCTCCAGAATACACAATCAACGAGCTATTGACAAACTGCGTGGTTAAGAGAAGGGTTAGGGTGTCAAAAAAAACATCAAATTGGCATGCTAGCACTTACCGTGTTGTTGATTCGTGCCATGCTGACATTGTTGATTCTCAACAGAGACAGTTCATCGACTTTAGGTCGGAAAACGGCAACTTCCACGCCTGGAGGTAAAATCTGCGACGACGACGTCGTTTTCAACTCCGAATCCAGCATGACAAGGAAGTCAAGGAAGCTGGTTGGGAAATTGGTGGAATACCACACGTAGATCCCGGATACCTGAAGAGTCTCGGTGAGGCATGGAGATGAGTTATTCCATGATGCTGATATTCCACCGAAGCCAATGGCAAAGGAGAATCCATCGCCCTTCTGAACAGGGTCTGCGTCTTTGCATGGGTCGTATACTGTATTACGGTCTCCCGCGTAAACCAGAACGAGTGACGCAATCACAAGATTTAGGGTGAAAATAAACGCGTAAGAGCCACCCATGTCAGAAGCACAAGAGGGATGTAGCGCCAACTTCCAGGGAACCTCACGAACGCAACGAGGTCACGGACTGGATCGCAGGTTGTGATGCTGCACTACCAAAGGCGAGAAGTCTCAGGTAGACGGGAATTGTGAGATACTGTACCTCGGTGTGCACAAGAGCAGCTCTAGTCACTCGCCTTCACATTTCTTCCACGCTTCAGCTGAAACCAACAGCAGAATGTCGATTTGTTAACAATCAGACGCAAATGACTTTAGCAGCAAAATGGCACAAAAGGACGCTAAACGAAACTGGGAGCAGACTGAAACGGGATTTTGGTGCACATCGTCTGGAAATGTCGTTTCGCTGACGTTATCATTCCAAGGGAATTCCGCCCTCCCACCCCGGATCTCCTCCCCACTTCCCCATCCCCTTCCCCTCCCCCCTCCCATCCCAGAACAAATTCCACCGACTGTACCAGATTCTGACAAGCACTTGACAGAGATCCTTCCTTGCTGATGCTCAACTCCCAAAGCTTTCAGGGAATACTGTAGCAGCCTTGTTAGAACGTCTACTATCCGCTGGCGGCCGTATGCCTCGCCACGGCTTCCATTCTCGTCCGGCCAGGCTCGCAGCACAATGTCGCGAAACTGCATATGTCGCATTTCCTAAGCCTATCTTCGGATTCCTGTATCCTTCCTCATGCGATTCTTTGGCCGATGTCGCCACTTCTAGCCAAGCGCGATACGTGGCGAATAGTGCGGATGAAACCCTCAAGCCGTCGGATGGTCGAATAGATCATGTTTCCGTCTCGCATCGTGCCTCAGGCTCCCCTCTAAGCGCAGCGTGGCGGAGGATTTCCGCGAGCAGGGGTAGTTCGCTAGCAACAGGCTACCGCAGTGGTGGTTCTCTTGGGATCAATCCCCATCATGCACTCCGTAGCATTCGTTTCATTACAACCACTGCTGGCAGTGGTATGCCATTGCAGTTCTGCGTAGTGGGGAGCGGCCCAGCAGGCTTCTACACTGCTGAGAAGGTAGCCAAAGCACAAACCGAGGGATTGGTGCCTGATCTCTAACATACCGTGGTCACTTGTTCTAGGTCCCCGGTGTTACCTCGTCGCACGAACAGCAGCCCGTAGACGCGTTTATCTGGCTGAAAATTATCACATGCCATTTGAGCTCTATGCACATGGCAAATCCTTCATGTTTTCGCCAATACCCCCTATAGTACTTCTTCCTGGCCCTTCCATTGTAGCTGATGAAGCGGTTTGGCTCTCTCGCTTCTCCCTTGTGACCCATTCCCGCCTCTCCTTTCTGGCATTTCTCCTCCGGATCTTTTCTATGCCCCTTTCCGTCCAGCTTCTGAAGCGGTTTGACACGGCACGAGTGGACGTTGTAGAGAGGCTGCCCTCCCCCAGCTGACCCTTTCCCGCCTCTCCCCCGAAGACCACCTCCCCTGCTCTCCCTTCTCCCCCTCCTCCCCTGGCCCTTCTATGCAGCTGCTGAAGCGGTTTGACGCGGCACGAGTGGACGGACATAGTGGAGAGGCTGCCTTCCCTCCTCTGTCCCTCTTCCGCCTCTCCCCACAGGAATTTCTGCCCCGCCCTCCCTTCTGTCGCTCCTCCCCTGGGCCTCCTTGTCCAGCTTCTGAAGCGGTTTGACGCTGCTCGAGTGGACATCGTGGAGAGGCTGCCTTCTCCGTTCGGCCTTGTGCGCACGGGAGTTGCCCCAGACCACCCTGAAACCAAGGTGAGAGGCAAAGGGTGGGAAAAAATGGCAGGAAGCAAAGTTGGCAAGAGACCTATCTGACGAGTTAACATGATCCTGATCCTTGACGTAACCGAATTGAATGTAGCTGTTTTCCATGCTAAATTTTCTTTTTTTATTCTGTTACCCGTTTCTTTTGTGACCTTCACCAGAATGTGATCAACCAGTTCACTCGAGTGGCTCAAAACCCCCGCTGCCGATACTTCGGCAATGTGCGAGTCGGCCCCCTCGAATCACCATCACCATCATGTCCGCCAGCAGCAGCAGTGACATTGGATGAGCTGCGACGGATGTACAATGCTGTCATCCTGGCGTATGGGGCAGAGGGCGACCGCGACCTCAATGTACCTGGGGAGGTAAGAAAGGAGGGTATAGGACACAGAGGTTCAATCCCCGTCACCACCACCACCACCAGCATCGGCAGCATCAGCAGCATCAGCAGTAGCATCACCAGCACCAGCACCAGCACCAGCACCAGCACCAGCACCAGCACCAGCACCAGCACCAGCACCAGCACCAGCACCAGCACCAAGCACCAGCACCAGAACCAGAACCAGAACCAGCACCAGAACCAGCACCAGCACCAGAACCAGAACCAGCACCAGCACCAGCACCAGCACCAGCGCCGCCATCAGCAGCAGCAACAGTGACAGTGCATGTGTGAGATGTACCATGCTGTCATTCTGGCGACCTCAATGTGCCTGGAGAGGTAAGAGAGGCAATTTATGAGTCGACGAGAAGGGACCTGAGTGAGCAGTCAAGTGTGATGCGTGGGTGAGAAGGGGGGGATGAATGGGTAGGAGAGGGGAGATGAGTGGGTAAAAGAAGGAAAAGGCGAGTGGATTGGCCACCTTGGGTGCACCTGCTAGGTTTGTCCCCTCGTCCTTGCAGATTCAAACCCGTCCTTTTTCCTTCGATCCTCTCCTTCCTCCCTTCCCTCTACTTCCCAGAACCTGAGAGGAGTCTTCTCTGCCCGAGAGTTCGTGTGGTGGTACAACGGGCACCCTGACTATGCGGATTTACCCGTGGATCTCACATCGACTGACACTGCAGTGGTGGTTGGCCAGGCACGTACTTTCTTTCTTTCTCGTCTCTGTGCTGCTGGTTGCCCAATGCTCTCTCTCCTGCGCAGTCCCCTCTCTTAGAGGACTAAGTGCTGGTTGCCTTTTGTCATCTCATGTGCTGCGCTGGGCAATGTGGCATTCTACTTGCTTAGGTCCAAGGGTGCTGCCCAGACGGCATTTCACACTACATTATATCATATGCATGCATTCCTCCTCTGACCATCCCAACGCGCAGGGGAATGTGGCACTGGACGTTGCCAGAGTGCTGCTCCGATGGCCGTCCGAGCTTCAACCCACCGACATTGCAGAGCATGCGCTAGAGGCTCTTGCAAGGAGCCAAGTCAGGTGAGCGCCTACTGAGCTCCTTCTTTGAGCCCTGAACCATATTTGCTTATAACTCACTTCCAGTTCTGGCCCTTCCATCCCGTCTCTCTCTCTCTCTCCTCCCTCTCTCCCCGACCCAACCCCCTCAATCGCTTTCATGTCAGCGCTCTTGTTCCCCCTCCCTCTCTCCCTTCCCACCCCCAAAAGGCGAGTGCATGTGGTGGGAAGGCGAGGTCCCGTTCAGGCGGAATGCATGTATGGTTCCCCATCCTGTCTCTTCCTTCTCACTGTTCCCCTCGCCTCTGATTCCTCCCATTAGGCGAGTGCATGTGGTGGGAAGGCGGGGTCCTGTTCAGGCTGCGTGCACTGCCAAGGAGGTTCGCGAGGTGCTAAGTATGTTGCTTAGATCTTAGCATCTTGCTTGATGTTGCGTATGTTGTGCGGCTTTCAGACCAAAATCCTGAAGGCTCTTCCCAGTCTTCGCTTGCAATATGCTTCTCCTGTATTGCAAATGCCTCGACTCTCGTTTTCTAACCTTTGCTGAATGTGTTCGATGCTCCGGAAACTAACCCTCTCATGCTGCGTGCGCAGAGCTGGAGGGAGTTCAGGTCACGCTCAAGCAAGAGGACTTCTCACTGACTCCCATGGATGAGGTATGTTGCCCCATCTACATCACGTTAAGTCAGTTTTGACACATCTCAAAACGCGCCAGCAAGAGGACTTTTCACTCACTCCCATGGATGAGGTATGTTGCCCCATCTATATGACACTGAGCCAGGTGGGCGTAACGATGAAAGAACGAGGTAAAGGACCGGGATTCGGGCTAGTAGCAGCCACTTTATCGGGGAAGGTGAGGCATGACGTGCTATCAGGAGTTTTTCCCTTCATTCCCGTGCCCACCTTCTCCTTCCTTTCCGCCCTCCTCCTCCCGAATTCCCCCTCCTCCCCACACAGAGCGAGCTCAAGGCAAGTCGCAGCCACCGCCGTGTGTTCGACTTGCTCTCCAAAGCAGCAGCAGCTGTTGCTCGGTCACTATCACCTTCATTCCCCCCTACATTTTCTTCCCGCTCTCCCCCTCCCCCCCTCCCCCCCTCCCCTTCTTTCCTTTTGATCTCCTCGCATTGCCAACGCCTCCCCTTACAGCGGGAGCTCAAGGCAAGTCGAAGCCACCGTCGTGTGTTCGACCTGCTCTCCAAAGCAGCAGCTGCTGGGTATCCCTCAGTACCACCATCATCATCGTCAACAGTGACTACCACCAGTGGCAGCAGCAGCAGCGGCCGCAGAGGCACCTTCAGCAACGCCGACTGCCGCGAGCTGGATTTTGTGTTCTTCCGCTCACCTGTGGCCGTGCTGCCAAGGGAAGGCTTGGCGACAGGGGCAGAGGGGGCCGGAGTAGGGGAGGGATGTGTGGGGGCTATTCGACTGGAGAAGAACATACTGACCGGTTAGTGCTCTGTCGGTAATCATTTGATGCGTTTTGTTCAAGATGTTTGGCCCCTGCTGTTGGTTTCCTGTGGTTACCGGTTTCCATTTCACTGTGTGTCCACACGCCTGTGCATGCAGGGGACTTCAAGGATGGGCCTAGGAGAGCAGTGGGAACAGGAGAGACCAGCGACTTGCCTTGTGGGTAGGTGCTGCCTTGTGGGTGGGTGCTGCCTTGTGGGTGGGTTATAACAAGCTCTGAAGGTGGCCGTAGACTACTTAAACCAGGGGAGGACCCATGCACCGACCTGCCAAAACCCATTGAACCCCCTCCCTTCCCGTCTCCCTGCTCATGGCACTCCCTTCTCAGTCTATAGTTCAAGCGCATACACCATATTGCTCTCTGCCCATATCTGCCTTGCCATTTGCCTATCCTCTCTCATCCCTGCTCCCTGACTTCCCGCATAGGCTACCGCTCTCTGCCCGTCGCTGCCCATATATCCCCTGCCGTCCCCCCCTCCCCCACCCCGCCTCTTCCATACTGCACTCCCCCCCTGCTCCATGCCCTCCCCTCCCAGCCTTGTGTTCGAGAGCATATGCTACCGCTCTCTGCCCATTGCTGGCCTGCCATTCCCCCCTTCTAAACCACTCTCTTCCGCTGCCTCCCAGCCGCCCCTGCCCCTGCTCCATGCTCTCTCGTCCCTCCCCTCCCAGCCTCGTGTTCAAGAGCATAGGTTACCGCTCTCTGCCCATCTCTGCCTTGCCATTTGCCTCCCACTCCCTATCTTCACCTGTTGTTTGCACTCCAAACCCGGCCCCTCCCCCTCCCCTGCTCAATCCACCCACCTTCCAGCCTAGTGTTCAAGAGCATAGGATACCGCTCTCTGCCCATTGCTGGCCTGCCATTCAACCAACGCAGTGGTGAGTGCCGATATGCATGCTTTATGGAAGTCTCTATCATCCCCGAGTGAGGAGTCCATTTTTGAGGCGCCTAAAAAATGGGCTCCTTTTGAGTCGCCTCGAAATGTGTGTGCTTCACAGAAGTCTCTATCATTCCCTCTTCCTCACCTCTTTCTATCCATTGCATCGCCTTCGCTCACCCAACCCCACCCCATCCGTTCACCACAAATCTGCCCTCCTCCCTCGATTTCCAAACCAATCCAGGTACGGTCCCCAACGAGCTGGGCCGCGTGCTGCGAGGAAGCGCTTCCGAGCCTAACACTGAGGCTCGGTACGAGCCAGGGCTGTATGTGGTTGGGTGGCTGAAGAGAGGCCCCACGGGGATCGTCGGGACAAATCTGATTGATGCGGAGGAGACGGTGAGTCCTTTCCCGCGTTGTGAGTCCTTTTCGCCTGGGGTTGTGAGTTGGGGCACGTTTTGAGGTTCCTCAAATTTCCTCTGGTTTCACAAGAGAGCCCCCCCCTCCTCCCCCGGGGGGATCATCGGGACTAATATGATCGATGCTTGAGGAGACTGCGAGTCCTTTCCCGCGCTGTTTGGCCTGGTGTTGTGAGTTGGGACACATTTTGAGGTGCCCCAAATTTCCTCTGGCTTCACAAGAGAGCACCTCCCCCCCCACACGGGCATTGTCGGCTCGAACCTGATTGATGCTGAGGAGGTGGTGAGTCCTGGTCTATTTCTCCTGGGGTTGTAAGTTGGGGCACGTTTTGAGGCACACACAGGGATCGTTGGGACAAGATTGATGGTTGTGCAAGTTCCGATGAACTGCATCATCCGACTGCTCTTATGGTATCATTTGTTCCTTGTAGCTGCTCATCTTAGGCTTCACATCCATTCAAGGGTTTCCTCAAATCCCTGCCTTGTGAGCAGGTTTCCAGCGTTGCACAAGATGCAGCTGCAAACAAGCTCCTTTCGCCATCGCCTTCCGACATAACCCATGGTGGCAAAGATGGGGGCCCTGAGCTTGCTGCTCTCTTGAAGCAACGAGGGTGCCCCTTTATAACGTTTGAGGATTGGATGAAGTTAGATGCTGAAGAGGTTCGGCGTGGTGTCACGAAAGGACGAGCTAGGGAGAAGATTGTCTCTGAAGATGAGGTTTTCAGAATTTTAGTGAAGTAACTGCTCATAGTCAATCGAGTAGATGATCTTATGTGGCAATGTAGGTTTAACCCCATCATTCAAGGCAAAGTTTTTGCTACGTTCTAGGTACTGTAATAATACTGTATGGGTTATTACACTTCTTGTACGATTACCCCTATAACGAACTCATGGGTCACGCCAACAATCTCAAACATGTGTGGTGAGAACACGAAAGGTCCCCCAATCACGAGCCAAGCCGTCGTCGTGCTGTCATGCTGAGGAAGGGAACATGAGAATGGCGACAATATCTGTACACCGTCGTCGCATTCTTTTCGCCTGTCGTCGTGCTTGTATTGTAAAGTCGGTTCGGATCGGTTTAATTGTATACGTTGCCAATTAATATAGGTCGCTCAACAAGAGCTAGGAACCGAATTGTACTGTGTAGGCTTCGGCACCGACATTGATAAACAGCGCTTGTCGTTTAGCTGGGCAGCAGCTGTCGCGCCGCCATACGAGCCTCTTACTTCGGTATGGAACCAAACCAAAACTAAGGGTCTGGCGACCAGCTTGCGAATTGTCGTCACGAGAATGCGAGATCGACGAAACAGCAATAACCCAGCGATTCGCCGAAGCGCCAGCATACCTGGTATTGTTGTCCCCTCGAGTACACTTTTCTGTCTTCGCATATAAAATGCGCAACTCACCACCATTCACACCCATTCCAACTAAACGTGCAATCTGTAAGTACGAATACCGTACTTCCCATCCTAGCTTGTTCCGCCGTTCAATATCATCAACACTGCGCGAGGACACCATGGCAGTCAGACACCTCCTGCTTTGCGCTGCATTGTTCTGCCTTGTCGTGACCGGTACGATACTCACGCGTCGAGAATCCGCACGACACGCTCTGTTCTACCGTATACTCCGTTGCAAAACCTTTCGACCGCGCCACGAAATGCAGATTCAGTGACTAACGCATTGCCTTCTTTGTGTCGTGCAGGCAACGCCGTTCCGGGGAGGCAGCTCCATCACCGAAGCAAGTACACGTGGAAGGACTTCGCCGCTCTGGGACAGTTTGCCGGTACGTTGCTCTGCCGCGCTGCGGAGCCTCTACACTTCAACCTTACTCCCTGAGTCTGCAGCAATCTTGTGTGGAAGATTCCCTCTAGCATCGTCACTCTGACGAATCTCTTGTTTCGCGTTCAACGCGGCGTGCTGCTGGATTGTCTCAGGAACTCTCGCCACGCCAATGAGCGGCAAGCAGGTCAGCGGCGGGAACAAGAAGGACCACGGAATGATCCGAATGTCCGTTTTCAAGTAAGTGGTAACCCGATACACAGTGATTAATTTGTGTAACTTGCGCTTTCTCTCTTGAGTTCCAGCATTCGTCAACTTCCGCAAAATTTCGATATGCGACCTTTAACCTGACGTGGTCATCGTGCGTCGGCTTTTCGTTTTCGCTGCAGGAAGGATAGCGACTATAACGTTTACTACAACGGCAAAGTCGATCTGAAGGATTCGGGTTACCCGACGACCGTCGGCATTTTCAAGGGGGCAAAGGGCGAGACTGGAACGCTGGCGTTTGACTTCACTGCGGACGCCACGTGGACGAACGACACGTGGAACCCCGTGTTCCCGGTTTTCCGGCAATTCGTGAACAGCTTCGACTACAGCTTCGAGGGTATTTACGAGAAGGCGAGCACCAAGGTCGCGGAGACGGGCACGCTTAAGGACCTTATCGATGCCATGTTCAACGAGGGTGCGAGCTCCTACTATGGGCTCGTGACCACTGTGGCGCACGCGACTGGGGCGACGCGCGGACAGTTCTTCGGGTTCAAGCTTTCCATCTGAATAACGGATTTTCAAAATCGAAAAACGGATCGATGAAACTCGTTTCTCAGGCTGGGTTTGGGAGGATTTCAAGTTTGTGGGGTGCTTTGTCTTGGGGATTGTGGGTGGGTTGGCTTGTGTCAAACCTCTTGACACGATTTGGTGTACGGTACTTCGGAATAAAAGTGAGTGCGCTGTGCTAAACCGTCCGTCGGTGTGTCCCACATGGGCACTTTCTCCCAGATTGAATCGTCTCAGGCTGATGATAAGGTTGTGATTCCGAGAGTTGTGATTGAGGGTTTGATGAAACGCAGATGGGGAAGGCAAAAGAGAAGGGGAGGAAGCAAGCCCAAAGCCATCTCGAACGCACGAAACGAATTCGAAGACGATGGGATGGAAGATCTCCCCGCTCCAGACGCACTGCTACGGAAATAAGACATGCCAGTCCAGCCCAACTGGCCGCCAAACTTGTGGGTGAATTTGTTGGCAGCACGAGCTACAACGTGGGCGCGGAAGGCACCACACTCAGCTGTGCGACGTTGCGACTTTGGATTCACGAAACGGGATCTAGCAATTAGACAGTCGCGATCAGTCGCTAGTTCCTTCGCATGGTAACTACCCTGCCCTACGCCCCAACAGGAATTTGCAAATCTGACCGAACATTCGCGAGTGCTATCCAGTTTTCGAAAGCCTCCGCATTTCTCTTGCCAATGGATGCTGGTGGCGGTGGCTCACATCACGCCATGCTAGCGAACACTCACCCCGGACCGCATCCACCACGTTGAAAATGAGGTGGGGTGATCGAAAGAGATTCAACGTTTTTCTCCCTGCGCTTCCAGGCGATGCGATTCTGCCCCATGATTCGTCCATCGTGGAGATAGGGACAGCCAGATTCCAGCCTGGCCCTAGAAAGCCTACACAAACCGACATTTTGTCGGTGAAAGCGGCTAATGTGGCGACTCGAGGACTACCGGGGCGAGGTTTTCGAAAAAATTGAACGGATGGTAACACCATTTTGCGACTCATCGGACCGTGACGAAATTGACAGCGAAAAATGTTAGTTTGACGACGAGGACAAAGGTGTCGCGATACAGTAGCCTGAAAGTGTTACACATGCACATGCATGCAAGCCCTTCCCTTCCCTCACCACCATGGGAACTACTATCCTCTCCACACCACCTACAAGTAATAGCACATCTCGTCGCATTTCAGATTCAACTATCCGACGTGCCCGACTCAAGTTGAACTTCCGTAAGCCAATGCCAGAGAGAGAATATAGGATCCCATACTCCCAAAAATTGTTCCTCCAAATCCAACGTATTCTCCACATCAACGCATTCTCGTGCAGAATGGCTCCTCGGCCCGACCTTCTCCTCTTCCTCGCGGCTGCTCTCCTCTTTTCCTGTAATGTCGAAGACGCACACTTCTCTTCAGCAAATCGCCTCCTCTAATCAATTTGTGTTCAAATCTGCAAGATTTATTCAAAACTCTTCACTAACAAATTCTCGCCCCTTATTTATTTTATCCCTCAGCGTGCCACGCGACGCGCCCTGGAGCGGCAGTCGCGGACACCCAGCTTGCGGCCCAACGAAGGGCGCTCGCGAGCGTCAGCGGATGGCTTCAAGAACGTTTCTCCAAGGGACTTGGATATCCCTATGGTAAGTTCATACTGACTTCTCCCATGCAACTCGCTCGCCTCGACTCTTGCTAACTGATATAGTATAAGGTTCGTATTCTAAGCACTTGAAGTCCATTCGTCTCTCTACGTTTCCCCATCCGACCTCGAAACTGAATCCTGGCCGTTGCAGCTGGTTTGGCGGCGTCCATCGACGGCATGGATCTGAGCGGCGACCCGACGACTGCTGGAGTCATCACTTTCGGGATTCTCAAGTAAGACATGTCCCACAACCGAAGGAGAAGAGAGATTTGTTGATAAGAGACTGAGACGTCGTTCATTGAAGCTTGCAACTTGTTACAAGCGGATTTGTGCTGTCCTCCGCAAGTCATGGAGGCCGATTTCATTTACATCATGCTATCCCCTTCCCACCCTTCTCAACCCCTCCGTTTCTCCTCAACAGGATCAGAAACGACTACCACATTCGCTATGCTGTTGCCGTCCGCGTGCCTACCCCTGGTTTCCCGACTGCGCTCACCGTAAACAGCGGATTCGCTGGGGAAACAGGTGACGTGGCGCTGGACTTTGGATCCGATGCCACGTGGAAGAATCTGACGGAGCAGGGAGCAGTGGTGCTCAATCTTGCCCTCCAATCTCAGGGATTTCCACCGATGGATCCCGGTGCCATCGGTTTCATATACGCATTTACAGGAATTTGGTACAATGCGGGTGCCAGGACTGCTGCTAACGGGGATACATACCAGCAGGTGGTGGATGGCATGCTGGGCGCCCCTGATGGTTACTACGGGCTCATGTCAACAGCTGATTATTCGGATGGTGCTGCGCGTGGGCAGTTTGTTTCTCAGAAGGTGACTCTGGCGAACAAGATGGCAAATTTCTTGAAGAGGAGGATTCAGAGGCTCAGGCGCTCACATAGGAAGTAAAGGAGGTGCTGGAATCATGAGGATAGTGGATGTGTTTTGAGGCTATACCTTGTAGCCTAATAGAGGTTCATGAAAGAATGATCTATAATAATTTTGTTCCTCATCAAGTTCTTGTACAAGACTTTACAATAAAAGAGCTGATCCATTATGTTGGAAATATCTCAAAGGACTTAAGCGTTTCTGAAGTGTAACACTGCACTCGAGGAAGACTACAGGGGAGCACGCGAGTCAACGGAGGTTACATGAGGGGGCGGGCAAAGAATGCGAAAAGACTCGAAAGGTCGCAACTGGAGGTTGCGACTGACCGTTACAACATCATGGATGGTAACCGAAGCGGTAATCGAGTCGCCGTGCGACTCGATAAACCGTTCCTGTAACTGTACTCTACAACTGCTTTCTTATCTTCTATAAATTGCTGTATGCTTGTTTCTTTAATCAATCACTTCTCATATACTAGCACAAGGGTTCAACTGCCTCAACTTCCGCTGCACTACTCAAGTCTCAATCCTCAACTGGGACTTAGTCTCTGGAAAGATCCTAAGGGCTTTTCTCAGCCCAACATGGTATGAGAGCTGGTCAGAGACCAAACTCCCAGCAACTACGCTCCTTCAACAACCTGCAACTCAACTCAATTTAACGACTTCATTGATTACAAGACATGGACAGCAAGGGCAAGAAAGTCTCTACGGGCTCACCCAGCGGCCAAGAAACTCAACACGGCAACTCTGGTCTGCACACCTCAGGACTGCAGACAGAGACCGGGACTGCTCAAGAAACAACGGGAACAGGCCTCAAAATTGGTTTTAGGCCACTCTTAGGAATCAGAGTGCCAAAAAAAAATTACCCTGCCGGTCAGAGTACAATTTTTCTCAAGTCTGATTCAGCAGGGTAGAACATTCGGCACTCTGGGTGCTCAGGGTAAAAAAAGCAGAACCCAGTTTCACGTTATGAAATGCACTATATTCCTAGCTACACTGCATGTCAATAATTAACATATGGAAATAATTAGCATGAACTAGGAACGTAGGCAAGGAAAATCACAACCACACGACCTACAGCACACTAGGATCCTCTAGTGGAACTGGGTCAGGGTCAGGGTCAGTCCTTATGGTGCCTGCATCTGCAGAAGCCGCAGCTGGAGTTGGGTTGGCAGAACACAAGTCGCGCAGAGGCCGCCGCCGCTTCTCACCTCGGAAAACAGCTACCACATCAAACCAGTCAATCTGGTAGCACAGGAGCGAGCACCGCATCAAGTCGCCCAGGCTGTCATCGCCAAGGCACCCACGACTCCATGACTTGATCAGATTTTGCTTCGAGAAACCACGTTCGCACTCCACTGTGCTGAGAGGGAGCACCGCCAGTGCCTGCCACAGCTTGAGGATGTTGGGGTAGCTCCGCTGCCACTCATTGTTGTCCAGAGTCAAGGTGAGCCCCTGTTGAAACTCGTCATCTTTGTACTGCGACACCATGGTAGCAGTAAACACCCACAGCTCCGTGACGGCCTTGTTGTAGTCGAAGCCTACAGGATGGTGGGGTTGGGATTCAAAGGATAGGAAACAGTAAGCCTTTGAGGGGAGATGTGCAACGAATGTTGCTGCAAATGGATTGCGGGGACTGCAGCCTAAGAACGGACACGCAAGCATCGATGACAGGCAGCATCATCGAGAACAAATCTGTCTCACCTGGGAGCTTTCCATCGAAGAGGTTGTGGGACTGCTTCAGCCACTGCTTGCATCTCGCTAGGCGCAACTCGTCGTCTCGTGGGTAGGTCTTGGCTTTGAAGAGCTTGCATCCTTCCATGTTAGCCAGGTCCTTCAGGCGGGCACGGACGTTGGTGACGACATCGATTGCATGCTTCCGGCAGACTTGGGCGCAGGAGTCTAGGTCGCTCTTGGTGTTGTGCCCCTCCACCATCCGCTCATGCAGCACATACTCGAACGCCTGAGCATTCCCCTCCGAGTCAACGCCTTGAACGCGCACGCGGCGCTGGTCGGGCCTCCCGTGACGCTCCAGGAATTTCCCAAGCCTCTCGCTGCCGTTCCCGAAGAAGAGACCACCGCCGCACTTGATGTAGCGGTCGGTGATGCGGTTGCACGTGTTGTCCACCACTGAGGCCACGATTGTGAGATCCACCTGCAACGAAAACACAGAGATAATTTCAAAGCAAACAGGGCACCATGAACGACATGCAAAATAAACGTGCAAAGTATGACTGAGTGCCTAGATGCAAGCACATGGTACTGACGACATTCAACGATGAGAGGAGTGTCATACCTGGCGCTGCTGGAAGCGGGTGTTAAGGTGATTCAGCTCCTCCAGTATGTCGGCGAGGTAGTGCAGCATGAACTGCACCTTGAACGACGTCACAATCTCGAAAAGACCGCTGGGGTGATCACGCAGCAAGACGATGGCCGCCGGCAGCACTTCGACGAAGCGGATCACCGCCTCTCCGCGCGACAACCAACGTACGGCGTGGATCCCTTGCATCTCTAGATTGGTGTTGCAAAACACCAGCTGGAAGTTTATGAAGCTGAGGTGCTGATTGTTGGAGCGACCGACGAGCTCGGCGAAAGCACGGATGAGCATGTCGATGATCTGTAGCTCGGCCACAGCAGCGGCAGCATCCTTCGCCGCAAGTGCCTCTCTGGCGGGAGGAGTGGATTAAACACAAAAAAGCAATGAGTCCGACAAGCAGAGGAAAAGCATACGGTCAACGAGTACAACACTAGAACAGATGCAATGATTTGGAGCGTTCTACTGAAAACATGAGGGTAGCGAGTAAAACACCCCACCTATGGGCGATGCAGTGAACAGCCATCAGGTGCTCAATCCGCCTCTTTAGGCGGGTTACCACTCCCTGTTGCACACCGGTCATTACCGATGCTCCATCGGTAGCCATCCCGACGATCTTCTGGAGGTCGAGACCGATGTACTGCAGGTACTGTAGAAGAACCGCCGTCAGAGACGCCGCATCGGTCCGCTCGACAGTTAGCAGAGTGACAAACTCTGTGACTACCGAGTTGCCACGAAAGAACGTAGCATACAGAATTAGATGCTTCCCGTGCACGCGGTCCGTGCTTTCATCGATGGCGATGCCGACAAACGGGGAGCTCAGGATGTGGTGGAGCTGCTCGTCCTTCAGGTACTCGGAAATCGCCTTGGTCCCTTGCTTGAAGCCATAACTGGTAGGGGGAGATGGGAATGGATAGGCTACTGGTAAGAAAGTTGGAGAGCAAGTGGACACATACAAGGAAATTACGGCAACGTTCGATGTCTGCGGCGACATGCAATGCATTGACGGGAGAAGAGGGATTCGGATATCAAAACTCACTCCGTGTAGTAGGTCCCATACGCCCGACCCTGCGGGAGATCGGGTAAGCCCTCGGACACGAGGAAGTAGCAAAGCGCCACGTACATCGTGATGGGCGCGTCGGCCTTACAGACAAAAAGGGCGATATGGAAGCACCGGATGAGATGTTTCGTCGATGCATCTGTCACCGCCCATCGGTCTAGCGTCTTCTGCTGATCCGTCTCTTTCTCCCGTTCTTGCTGCGCCTTGACAGCCGCCTTGTGAGCACGTGTCCCAATGTGGATTCGGATGCTGCCCACCTGGAGATCGCGCGCACCCTCTCCTTTCCTGCCATATGAAGTGTTGGAGAAAGCATCACCGTACTGGAGACACAGGGCACATTTGAGGGCAGGTCGGCCGTTCTTCATACGAGTAAGTCGGAGCCACGGGAAGCGTCGTGACCAGTCGTCCACGAAGCGACGATTCACGACCTCATACTCCGCGTCGACATGAGAAGCGGGATTCTGGGGCGGAGTAGGAGCAACAGGCGGAGGAGTAGGCGGTGCAGCCGGCTTCTTCGGCGGTGGCGCCCAAGGAAGCCGACGCTGAGTCCATGGTCCGCAGTCCTTCCTCTTGGCGGGAGCGGTGGCGACAGACTCAGCAACTTCTGGTGCCTCGCCAGAAGTGCCTTCGCTGTGCAACAGGTTGAGGTCGATCGCCTCAGCAGCATGAGAAGAGCAAGGTGGGGACGTTGGCTCAAAAAGAAACTGTTGCGGAGGGGGTGCACGCTTGTCGAGCGAGGGATTGCGCGGCGGGGAAGGCGCAACTCTACGCGGCGGGAGGAGGGGGAAAACCCCAAGAACGATGAGTCCATTCAGTGGGGGAGGGTCAGGAGGATCGGCAGCATCGAGCGCCATGGCTGAAGGACGATCCAGCTACTCGAAACTCTACTGGGTGAGGGAATGCTCGTTGCAAGTCAGGGGGCATGGTTTCTGGAAGAAACGTATGGAGAAGAAGGGCGTTTTGCGAGACACAAAAGGTGTGCAGTCAAGAGCCTCGTTTGGGACCGCTCAGCTCACAGGAAAAAACCTGTGAAGTTGCTGCATGCATCAGCATTCACTGTCGGCGCGCGAACTTGTCACCCAGCGAGGAAACAATGCTGCCACTCTAACCAATCGTAAGGCGGCGCAAAGCCAACGAGGTGGTACCATCAACACGTGCCCATGCGCATGTGATGATGGTGGGCAACAAACTTCGGACTGACGAGGGGCGTGGCGGTGGCGTGGCGGGCATCACTCGCACAAAATCTGGCACGTATCTTGCCTCTTTGGAGTTTCTGTATCAGGGTAATTTTCATTCTACCCTGACGCCTCAGGGCTGGGAGGCGCCCAACCCTAGTTCTAGCAGGGTAAAAAAAGGCGAACACTTTTTGAATCAGCCTTAAAAAAATTACAAGTCGGATTTTTAAGAGTAACATGAAAAATACCCGGAAAAATCAGGGCAATCAGGGCATTTCACCCGGCTATTTTGAGGCCTGAACGGGAAGAGTACCAGAGATGGTGACTCCATCTCCCTCTTCAAGCGTGGACCCCAACCTTATGGAAAGGTTCTTCAGCTTCATGTCGCACTTCGACCAGCAGCAGCAGACAAGGACACCTGCGCATTCAACACAAAGCAATGGAGGAAACATGGGATTAGCGCCGATGAGCCTCGACAACTCATCGTTTGGGCGACACAATCAAGCGCCTACCTTTGCGCCTTATCACTCTTCACCGGGGACGTTCGAGTTTATGCCGCCCCGTGCCCAACCAACAGCAGCTGCATAACAACAAACGCCAAACGAAATCTTAAGTCTCCAGGCGCAGTTCTCGCACGTGATAAAACTGCAGACATCCTCACCGTTCAACGGACACGACTTCTTTACCTGGAGTTTCGAGTTCGAGCTGCTGATGGAGGCCGCGCATCTTCTGGGATACTTCAACGGGTCCCTGCCATTCCCAAGCAACGGCACTGGAAAGGAACAAGAAATCTTCACGTATCAGTCGCTGCTGGCGTATACGGTTCTCCTGAGAAACCTGTCACCACAAGAACAGCAGAGCATCAGAACATACAGGAGCTATGGAAACTCCGCGGAGCTCGCATGGCACCATCTCAAGTGCCTCTACCAAGCAAATGACAGCGTGACACAAAGCAGACTCATGCAACAACTGACAACAATACAAATGAAGACCGGGGAAAAGGCGATGCAGTATATGAGTCGCTGCCAGACCCTCCGCGACCGCCTGCTTCGGTGCGGAGGTACAATCACTGAAGAAAGCTTCGTGACACTTGTCCTCGCCGGGCTCGGGCCAGAATGGAGAACCACACGATCGCTTCTTCGCGCCCACGGAAGGATTTCGGAGATGCACCTCTGCGCCGAGCTTCACGCTGAACAACAGGAGATGGACCTGTTCGAAGAAAGACAACCAAGAAAGCAACAGCAGTTAGTCTTCTACACTCAACGAAGAAACGACAACACCTACAATCGACGCGGCAAGCAAGAACGCGACAACAGGGGACTTA